AGGAGAATGGAGGATATATTTTAGGAAATGGCCAAAAGGACTGAGGTTACATTCCCTTCTCCCTCAGCATTCTTGCTCTTCTCCCAGAGAAACAGAGCTGAATGGAACCTCGGGCTGCTCTGGGGTGGAGGCCGGGAGACGGGTTCCTGCAGCCCCCAGGGACCCGTCCTGCAGGGCTCCACTCTGAAAAAGGTCTTGTGGCCTTCGAAAGAGTCAGCAAGCATCCATGGTCAGCACAGGGAACTCCCTTCACACCTTCCATCCCAGGCTTTGCTTCCAGGAATGCTGCAGCACACTAGAGGGTGAGGATAGCCCTTCTGGCAAAGAATGACTGGGGGAGACCTGAGGGACCAGGTCACTATTAAAAAATAGAGAGAGACCCGAGGTGACAATCAGGACCTGAGAAATGGGGCCAGATGAAGATGGGGAACCTAGGAGAGATGCAACTGGGGGGAGTCAAGAAGATGGGAATATAGTATGGTTACTGGAGACAAAACCTTTGGTCATGTATTCTGTTTTTACCACTTTCTGGTGTGTGCTTCTTGGGTGAGGCTTGTAGGACATGGGCTGGGATAATACTGATGTTGACTAATTCAGGAGAAAAACCAGTAGGAAATGGCTTATGACTTTGTCCACTGACTATTACTCCCTATGGTAAATCTAAGAGTCACCCACTTCCCTGACCAAGAGCTGGAACACTTTCTGGTCCTCTGTCACTCTGGCCCTTGAGGGCTCTCCATGCTCTGCTGATGGCTATTTCTTTTCTTTCTTGGTTGCCCGGCAAAGGTTGGGATCTTTCAAAAGCATTTTCTGCTAGGAAACTCAGGGAGAAAGAAACTGGATGAGGGGTACCCAGTTTACAGATCACAAACATTTAGCTAAATTTCAGTGTTTGATGAGCAGACCTAGTCAGTCTGCTCATCTTCCTTCCCTCTGATGGTTGATTTTATGTGCAGTCTTGGGTAGGGAATGGTTCCCAGTTCTTTGGTCAAGCACCAGTCTAGATGGTATTGGGAAAGTATTTTTTATATGTGATTAACATTTAAATCAGCAGGCTTTGAGTAAAGCAGATTACCCTCCATCATGCAGATGGATCTCATCCAACAGTTGAAGGTCTTAAAAGATGGAGACTTGCCAGGAGAGAAGAAATTCTGCCTGCCTCCAGACTAAGACTGCAGCCCTGAGTCTGCTAGACTTTCCATCTTGCCAGCCTGCCCTGCAGATTTCAGACTTGCTAGCTCCTACAACTGCAGGATCCAAATCCATAAGTCTCTCTCTTTCTCTTCCCTCTCTCTCCCTTAACTTTTCTGTCTTCCCCTCTTTCTCTCTCTCCACACACACACACACTCACACATATCATTGGTTCATTGGTTTCACTTCTCAGGAAAACCATTATTAATACACTTAGAGCAAAGGAGGATCAAGGTACCCATATCCCTCCTGAAGGTGTGGCAGGTGTGTCCCCCTTCTGACCCTACTGAGTCTGCTGGACACTCTATCTCCTTTCCTACTTTGCTTTCCTGGCTTCATGCTGAGAATGGATCCTCCTGGATTTGTACTTTTTGCCTCCAGACTGTTTGCCCATCCGTGGCCCTGTCCTGAATGTGTATACAAGGGTAGACTTGTGCCCTGGCTCTGATCAATGGGCATCTTTCCTACTAAGCTCCATCCTTCCTGTTAAGACCCTCAACCTGATCAGGCTCTCAAGAGACATCAACCCTCAGTGCGACCAGCCAGGTCTTGTAAGCAGCCTTAGCATGTGGGTATTTGGTTTAATCCCCTTCCTTTACTAATTTCTATCTACCTGCAGCAATTTGCTTGGCTGGCTCCTAGCTGGGTTTGCTTTTGGGTAAAGCCTTGATCCATCTCCTATTTTCACAGGTCAACATCTGTGCCTTATCTCCTAAGGACTCAGCTCAGATACCAGCTTTCATTTCTGAAACTATGTGCATTAATTCAGCTTCTTTCAACAGCCAGGTGGAGGCTCTCACCTCTCCCTGCCTCTGGCCCTGCTGGACAGCCTATGAAAGAAAAATTCAGGGCTGATTGTCTCACCCTTTACTTTTCTATTGTAATATTCACTGAGTCCCCCACATACCTTACCTTATTTAACTTCTACAAAGCTTACTGACACATATTTGCAACTTTTGATTATTATCCTCATTTTCTGGATATGAAAGTGGATGTGCAAAGAGGTTTTGTAACTTGCCCCAGACGGCACTGTTTGAGAATGAGCTGCAACCTTTGCCAGACTGAGTCCAGAGCCTGTGCTCTTAGCTGGGAGACATGAAACATAGCTGTGAGAAAGGAGGCAGGGTGGGGATTTAAAGATGAGCCAAGCAGCAGGTGTAAAATGAAACTGGGAATGGGATGAGTATAATACAACGCATGCCGTGGAAATTCTGCCTGTATGCTGTGGATGGCCACAGGTGTGCACCCAACTTCTGGCAGCCAGAGGAGAAGGGGCAGAAACAAGGATCTCCAGGAGTGCCTGCTCCCTACAGTCCCTTTTCTCATAGGTTTTCCCCTCTGCACGCAGAGCCCAGTTCTCTAGAATTCTGTTCCTGCAATTTGGCAACAATTCTTTTAGAAAAATGATCTTTCATCCCTTCTAAGAAAGGGGGAGTCTTTCTCCTGGTGCAGGAATTTGGCATTGATGTTAGATTGTGAGCTCCGGTGGAGCTGGGACTGTGGGACTTAGCCCCCACTTTCTACATTGGCAGCGCCCAGTCTAGTGTCTTACTGCAGCAACTGGTGAACAGATGTGGGTTGTGTTGGACAAGCATGAATGTGAATAGATGCTACTGTGTGCTCCTCTCCCAGGCATCTGCTTGCTGCCAGAGGAAAGGTCCATTTCTGGGGAGGACTTCTCAGTATGAAACTGTCCTAGAGCTAAGGAAAGGGAGCATTGCACAGTAAAAAATAGTGAGATCTGAATACTGGAATCAGATATCTGTGGCACTACCACTTAGGAACTGTGTGCCCTTTGGCAAATCCCTTAAGTTCTCTGAACCTCAGACTAAAGGAAAATGGAAGGACCCAGCCCTGTGAGAATGAGAGGCCCATTGGAGAGGATACTCAGGGGCTGGAATCTGGAGGTGCTTCTCAAGTTCCATTTGCTCCACCAGTCATTCATTCCAAATGTACTTCTTGGGCAGTGCTGTGGGCCAGGCCCCACACTGTCCTGGGGACACAGCAGGGAACAGCACAAATAATTACCTGGTTGGCTCCTTCCTCCTCGTGCTCTCCTCCCCTCCGGCTACTAATAATGGGGATGTCCCTAGTCCAACTGGCTGAGGGCAGGAAGATCAGCTGGGGGAGCTCAGTGTATAAAGACCCCAACAGCCCACCATCAGGTTTCCCTGGGTCCCAGCTGGCTCCTCTTGCAAAGCTGGAGACCAGGTCAGATGGCGACGGTCCTGCATAGTATTCCATGAATCGCATTATTGCTTTTGTTGAGAAATGATTACATTGATTTCACCACAGCAGAATAGTGCTCCTCCAGGGGTTGGGGCATGCATTTCCGACAGAGGCAGAGGTGACTTAAGGTGAGTCAAAGGGGGTTCACTCCTGGGACCTGCTGTGCTCCCAGGACATGCACTAATCCCACGCAGGTTCGGCCTGCTGTCCTTGTGTTTGCCTTCTTCTCTCTCCGTACCTGCAGGCTCCCTCCTTCTGCTCTGGGAAGAGCATCTGTGTGTGTGTGTGTGTGTGTGTGTGTGTGTGTGGCACATGCACACATATGTGAGGCAGGGGGACATATAGACATGATAAACTCAGAGGCTGCAAGGTAGGAACTGAAAACTTTTCACAACTGTATCTTAGCACTCGTGAACATTCAGTGACTGGCGCACACTCTGTTTAACCTGCACTTTTCCCGTGCTTTGGTTTCACAAGCCCAAGGCCCTGTCCTTGTGTTGCCGCCCCCATCAGACAGGGTCTCCTTGAGGGCAGGATCCTGTCTCCCTCCTCAGGCTGTGGGCTGTGCTTCCTGCACCTACCTCCTTCGGAGGCTCTCCTCTCGGGTAGGTGCCTGGCTATGGACCCAGAAAACCCTCCCGGTCCCTTTGCAAGGGGAAGGAAGAGCGGTCTCCTGCGCACTCGTGGCTGAGAGGTTGGGTGGGTCCTTGCATGGTTCTCATCTCTGTCTCACCAGCGCCACCACCTATGTGGCATTTTAGGATGGAAATGGGTCTGGAAGTGCAGAAGGGCAGATGTGGCTCCTCGAGTCGGAGTCACCAAGGCTTGGGAGTCAGCGATCTCATTGCTACCCAGAAGCCTCCTCGCAAGCTGTGAAGTATTTGCCTCTGGAGTCCACATTCTCCCCTGGCCAGGGCCTGCGCCCTGTGCTCCCCTGCTGGACCCGGGAGTACCTGCGGCCTGGCATCTTCCCTCAACAGAAAATAAAGAAAAAAAGTAAGAACAAAAATGATAAAATAAAGAAACAAAGATCTGAGTCTCTTGCTTGCCAAGGCCTAGCTGTGGCATCTCCTTTCCAGAGTCCTGCTTGCACCACACTGAAGTCACTGCCAACAGCCGCCGTCTCACCTTCTCATTTCCTATCCCATTCCCCGCACTTTCCACAGAACTCCAGGCCAGGCCACACTTACCGAAAGGTCTGCACACATGAATGTGTGTGCTTTTTAGGAAAAGCAGGGTGGATGTCCTCCCTTTGGCCTGGGAACTGTCCTGAACTCCTAGGCTGTAGCACTGGCCTCCATTAGAGAGGCTGTATTCTGGGGTCCTGGGGCTAGGGGGCAGTGTTCGCCCACGGGTACAGCTAGAGCGGGGAGGGGGGAAGAGAGAGAGAGAGAGAGAGAGAGAGAGAGAGTGTGTGTGTGTGTTATGATACTGACTGGACATTAATAAGCTCTGGCTCCAGAGAGAATTCTAGAAGTCCCTCTAAACACTTAGCTCATCTTTCTGTTGAGTACCCCACTTTTAAAAAAGCCTGTGGGTTATTCTGTATAGATGTTGCCAAAAAAACATTTATTTGAAGATTTAAGAGTTTTTATCCAGTAAACTTTATTTATATATAACAACAGTACAAATTGTGTCCTTGGCTTGCAAAATAGGAGTGTTTCATATTTACAATAGGTACAGGATAATATATTAGAATAACAAAAACCCCATTTTATTGGAACATTTTAAATAATTTTCTTATTATTCCACAACACCTATAAAAACAACAAAACCAGACAACCATCATTGTATTTTCTTAAAAATAGATATAATACAGATTCCAGTGTGTCAAGGGGGGTGGGTGTGAATGGGGAGACCTGGGGGAGAGGTGGGTGGGCTCAGGTCCCTCTGTCGTGCTGTAAGAGCTTGTCACTTCTCCCCTGTACCTCAGGGACATCTGTCCCGTGTGTGGAGACTGGGCTTCCTGGCGCTGCCCACTGCTGATGCCTCTAGGGATGACAGATACAGTCACAGTGCAGGCTGACTGAGCTCTGGAGCAGCTTCTCATCTTCCTACGCTGGAGGCAGGAGGGGTAAGGGCTCCAGCAGAAAGGGTGCAGAGGGAGGGAGAGCTTTGTTGAGGGGGGATGAGAAGGGGAATCCAGGAAAAGCCGAGGAATCACCAGTTTCCTTATCGGCTGAGGAGCAATCATCTTGATCATCTCGATCATCTCTCAAGACATTCCCTAAAACCAGTTAGAGGGAAACACTACCCTTCATTCATGGGCATTATTGAGCCCCAGATGCTAACCTTTACTCTGGGGAAATCGGAAGACAGGATGGAGACAGGGAAGTGAGACTGGAGTTCCGGCAAGGCTGCTCTTCCGGAGAGATGTTCCTGAGAAGCTGAACTTCATCTCCCGAGTCCCCTACCCCCATGGGATCTGCTCCCACGGCCCTGTGTCCCCGAGGCTGCTGTGCATTTTCTCCGCACGGTGTCTTAGCATCTCCTTTCTTCCTTGTCTGTGTCTACGGCACAGCGCTGCTGGAGGGGCCTCCACCTGAGAGCCGCCGTCCAGTGTCTCCAGGCAGCAGGTGACGCGACAGGCACGGCAGTGGTCAGGCTGGGTTTCCCAACAGCCGCTGCTGGCTCTGTCCAGACCCTTCCTAGTCTCTGCACACCCACCAGCCCATCTTCATCTCAGCAGCGCCAGTGCCCCAGCAGCTGCTCTTGTCCTCACTGGCTGGAGCAGAGGGAAGGTCAGGAGCTGACACAGCAGAGGCAGTGCCACCTGAAGAGTGGGCGGTAGTAGAGTGAGAGCAGCTCTCCTTGCTGGGCGACTGTGCCCCAAAGAAGGGGAGGCAGTTGGCCGGGCCGGCTTGCCTTCTTCACTGCACCCTTTTTAATGTAACAGGAATCTCTAAGCAGGACTGTGCCCGCTGCATTGGTGGCAGGACCCAGCAGCCTGAAGAACAGACGTTGGCCAGAAGAAGGACCCACTTGTTCATCACTATTCCAGCACCTCAGAAATAGCTGCTGCTCCAGAAGATCCTCTGATGAACTGGTGCAAGAAACAGCTCTTTCCTTCCAGGGAGTCAGCAGCTCACCGACGCTCTTCAGACTTCAACTATGTTAGGAGAAGAGGCTCACAAGTGGTTCGAGAGCCACACTGCAGAAAGAGGTAGGACAGGGACAGCTGAAGTACCTGGCCCATGCCGAGTGTGGGTCCAGCTGGGCTCCCCATCTTGCCCTCTGGCATTGTCTGTCTTGCCAAGCCCCACTGGAGTTCTGCTCCTCCAGAGAGCTGCCTCTCCTGGTGCTCAGTGGAAGAAACCCAGCTGGGCAGTCTTGGGGAGAACTCCTCCAGGAGGGATGGCTTGGTGGGGGGGACTGTGGATTTGACAGTTCTTTACACAGCCCCAAATAACCTCAAATTGGATAATACCAAGAGGAGACAACAACAGACTTTGTCTCCTCCCCATTCTACAGGGGGCTTCCATGGGTTTGTGGTGTCCCAAAACAAAGAGTTGGTGGAGGATGGGTAAGGGGAGCGAGAATGGGGGGCCACCTACTGCCATCGCCCTCCTGACCTGGCCTCTGTGTCCAGCCATCCTCTTTTGTCTTTTTCTTTCTTTAAGGATGTCCGTCTGTCACTTCCTTTGCCAGTTTAAGTTTCCCCCCTCTCTCATGGAATCCCGAGGAACACGGCCAGACCACCCAGGGCCACTCCGGCTCCTCTCCTTGCCTTCCCCTCTCCATCCCCCATTGTCCTCCAGGCACCTCCAGATGGCCTCCCCGGGTACAGGATGTGGTCACCCAAGTGGCTGCTGGGAGACTCTAGTAAATCTGTAGTGGCCAGGGCCAGGTGCTGCTGACAGAGACCATCTTTTTGGCAAAACAGAGCCCTGGATGCTGGCTTGAGCAGCAGTGTGACCAGGAAAACTTCATTCAACTTGAGCTCAGATATAAGTGAGAGTGGGCTGGAATCTTCCACAGGTAGCGCAAATTAGCCACTCATATCCTTCTGGCCGAATCTCTTCTTTTATTTCCATAAATTATTGGCTCTGAGCCGATAAGCTTTGGGTGCTGGAAAGAGCAAACACTTTGGCTTAGTGTGGAGGGCCCATCATTAGTATTTCTTTCAGGCTATTAACAGGGCCCAAAAAAACTTTCACAAAAGTAGATTATCAGAAGAAAGTGGCCTTGGCATAGCTGGTTGTGAATTACAATGAAAACATCAAGTTTCCTGAGTATTTTGCTGAATACTTTTCTCTCCCCATCTGCCAGCTGCATTCAGGCAAGAAACCAGAGCTGAAGAGACCAGGCAATGTCTGCTGTGCGGTTAGACAGCCATCCAAAGCCACAGGCCCGGAGGGAAGCCAGTCCTCCAAGCTCCCTTCCCCAGACCTTTCCTGGGACTCACATGTGGTCAGGGGAGCCCTTGGAAACTGGAATTGCCTGGAGGTACAGTTGGGCACAGAGAAGCCGGGGCCTAGGGTTCACTGCAAAGGAAATGTCACTGGCCCAGCCTCTCTTGGGGTTGCTGGTCTAGTTTCCCAGTACTGTGGCTGGGATTCCTGAACCCTAAAAGAGCAGAGGGTGGAAAGGGAAGATCTCCCCCTTCTGCCACCCCTACTCTGCTCTTCTGCCTTTCCTTGCCCTCCTATCCTGGCTGTAGCACTGTTTGCAGAGAAACTGGAGCTGGCTGCTTGGATCCAAGACCAGGACGGAGGTGGGGACTTCCGGATGGACACCCTCTCACAGTGTCCTGCTGCGCCAGATCTGTCCTCTTTTGAATAACCCCATCAGCTTCTTGGGGGCTTCTGGTCCAATGCATGGAGCTTTGGTTTCTTTGTTTGGAAATTACACTCAGGAGAACTGGCTGTCCATGGATTTAGGAGTTAGCAGGAGAGAAGGAAAGGAGCCTGGTCAGAATACAGCCATTTGTCCCTTGTCCTCCTATCCCATAAATCCATGAGATGCAGAAGAAGACAGTGATGTGGGGACGTGTCAGTCACGTCTGCCAAGGCAAGTGTGGTCCGCCCAGGTAGTCAGGAGCTTGGGAATATGAGCGAAGGGTTGTCTCTCCTCTCCAGGCACGAGAGAATGAAAGTATAGCAATAAATACTGCAGCTTCTTAACCTTATGCTCTTCAAGTATTGCTTGCTGTAAACAGTGTATAATTTTTTTTTTTTTTTTCTTTTTAGTTGCCGGGAACCAGGGGATGACTGGAGTGGAATCCAAAGCCAAATACCCTTGTCCCCAATCCAACCCCCAGGAGACCTCCTGGAGGCCAGGCCAACATGCCCCAGGCTGTTCCTCCAGAGTCCCTGCTTCAGGACAGGGACCGGAGAGGGGTAGAGCTGCTTGGCGTCCTTGGGGAAACCAGATGTCTGGCCTGGGAGAGGCCCACCTCTCCCCCGCTTCCCAATTCACTTTAGGGAAACCAAAAGGAAAAGTACTAAAGACCAGCTCCTCTTTTGTTGATGTTTGAGATTAAATAAAACAAACCCCAAACAGTAGCAGAAAGCACTGGTGTGCTATCGATAGCCCTTCTCTGTGGAGGTGAGAACGGACAGGTGTGTGGGGGTAAAGCTCAGGTCCCTGCCAGCCAGGTGCAGCGACGGGGTGGCTTTGCGCTGTGTACCCAGTTCTGAGGCGTCCGCGCTCTCCCAGCTGCAGGAGCTTCCGGGTCTGACTGGCCTCTGGGTTTGCGAAGTGTTTGGTGCAGACGTTGTGCTCATTCATTCTCCTCCTGCTGCTTTTCCTTTTTCTACTCTGAGGGAAAGGAGACCTCCTCCTCCCCTGGCTCCTCTCTGGATCTCTCCTTGGTTCTTCCTGACATTTGGAAAGAGGATTTACACAGGAAGGAGAGACAAGGGGGACTGGAAGAAGGGGTGGAAATCAGAGTTAAACAAAAGTTGGACGGGATTAACAGGGCGGCTTTTTGTTTTGTTTTATTTCTGTTTTTTTCCCTTTTTCTTAAAAAAATTAAATAAAGTTCTCATTATTTCCCCAATATACATCAAATGAGTTTCATGCAAAGCAGCAGTCACAGAGGCAGACCCATCGAGCTCGAGCCTCTCAGCTTGAAGGGCCACCGTTTCCTCGCCCGGTGGCATCCCTAGATGTCACAGCTGTGGTCGACGGACGATGCCTGCTGTCCTACCCACAGGAACGGGCTAGTGTCGTGGGAGGGGTCTCCCCTTTTCCCCCGGATGGGGCCTCGGCTGGCAGCAAGCTTGGGGCTGGTCCCCTGCTCGCATCTTTTCTTCCAAGACTCCAGCGTGACGACTTGGACGGGCGCCTCTTCCCAGGAATGCGGGCTTCCTTTCAGCTCTCGATGGACATGGCGCTGATCAGCTGCTCTACCTTGTAGGCCAGCCGCTGCCGCCGGGCCTGCTCGTCCTGCTCCAGTGCACCGATGAGCTGAGGGACAGAGCAAAGAGGGTGACTGCAGGGTCTGGCGCCAAGACACTGCCCTGTGGAGTCCTCCACCCTTCTGCCTACCTTTCCATTTTGCCTTAAAGCACATAACCTTCAGTAACTGAAATGGTTACTTGCACGAATACATTTAATTAGCATACAGCCACGCATTGCTTAATGATGAGGGTGCTTTCTGAGAAATGGGTCATTAGATGATTTTTGGCATCACACAAATGCAAAATTAAATCAAGAGAAAATGACATCATCAAGAAACACAGTCATGCAATGTGTGAGGCTGGCAGTGGCCGGCATAACAGTGTCTTGTTCTACAGTCAGCTGTTTTACTTTGTAAGCAGAAAGAATACATTCCAAAATGATGATAAAAAGTCTAGCATAGTAAATATGTAAGCCAGTAACAGTCCTTTATTATCAGGCATTACTCCTGGGGCCATCTGCATGTGCTATACTTTCTTTTATAGACTGGCTGCTAGACTAGGAGAGGTGTTTACCCCAGCATCACCATAAATGTGAGCAAAGCCTTGCACTAGGGCAGTAAGACAGTGATGAAGTCACAGAGAAATGTTTCAGCTCTGTTACAATCTCAAGAGGCCACTGTCAGGTGTATGGTGTGCTGGTGACCAAAATGTCATGTAGTCTTGACTATACATGCACGCATCTAAATACGTGTACATACGTGAATATATGTGCATGAATATGCAGTTATAGACATCAATTGCTTAAAAGAGTATTGACGTAATAGGAAGCACTGTGTGCTAGCTATTATTATTGCTACTACTCCTTCCTTCTGGTTCAGTGCAATGCATGACTTATCAATATCCGGAAGCTGTGCTGTTTAACTTCTCTTTGTGTTAAGGTCCACCTGCCTATCTGAAATGTGACTGATAGGATCTGCCCAAGTGCAGAAAAATAGTTTGACCCATCATTTCAGAAAGAATGAAATTAATCATTGTTGTGGCTTGCGTCTAGCTGTCTCCCCAAAGCCTCATGCAGTCATAGGTGGGACTTTTTCAGAGGAGGCTGAATCTAGAGTGTGTGACTGATTCATGGCGCAATGCTAAGATTTAAGGGTATGTGATTTCTAAACCAATCCACTGATTGGTTTGGTACTGCTCTAATCCCAGTAGTATGGATACAATATAAGGGACAGAAAAAGGCTTGTCTTGTCCCTTCTGCTTGCTTTGCTACCTTCTGCCTGCCATGTACTGTTCTTCTCTGCCATGTGCCCTGCTGCCTTGGAGCCAGCTGACATTGCACTGAAACCTCTACACACTGTGAGCTAAATAAACCTTTCGCCCTTTAACTTTGGGTGTCAGGTGCTTTGTCTCAGCAATGAGTGAAAAATAACTAAGACAATCATACAGTGTTCTGAATTGAAAAACAATGGAAATTTTAAAAGTGTTATTGTGTTAGCAACGGATGAAAGAGACAATGATGTATAAGAAAGCATGCAATGAGTAAGGAGGAGTGAGGCTGCCTTATAAAGGAGTGATAATGATTATGAGCTTTTGACTCCACCAATGAGTTTTCTAAACCAGGCTCCAGGTTGTTACATAAGGATCGGATCAGGCAGGGCCTTGCATGCAGCACCCTGGCTCCCCGCATGCTGCCTCTGGCCTGTGCGGCCCTGCCTTACCTCCTCGCTGTACTTGCTAACATACGAGTAGATCTCGTTGAGGGCGCTCAGCATGTTGAACTCTACAGCATGCAGGCGGGACTGCTCGGCGAGGTAGGCATTCATGTCCTGGTCGCTGATGGCAGGGAGTTTGGCGATGTCTGCATAGTATCTGCCGCACACAGGACAAGGCCCTTGATGAGGACTCAGCAAGGGTTTGTGTGCTTCTACCTGGCCCCAGATCCCGGGGCAGCATGGGGTGCTCCTGCCCTATCATTTCTCTTCTGCTGGAGTCTCGCCTCAAGTTGAGGCTGAAACTGAAGAGTAGTTTCTTCAGGAGACTCCACCCAGCTTTGAGCTCTGGGCTGCAGTGCCTGGCAGAATGTTCACAATCCCAGACTTTGGTCAGACTCCTTGTAATCAAACCTCAGCTGTACCACCTGCTAGCTGCTGACCTTGGGCAAGATATGGTCAGTGTCCCCATTAGTAAAATGGGAACAATCGTAGCTACTCTCCTACTTCACTGGACTTTGTGTGTGTGTGCATGTGTGCGAGTGTGCACTCATGTGTGCATCACACTGAGCCACACCCCAGCCCCCTTTTTTAAAATTTGAAGACAGGTCTCACAAAGCTACTAAGTTGCCCAGGCTAAGTTCGAACTTGTCATTTTCTTGCCATGGCCTCTCAGAGTTCTGAGATTACAGATGTGGGCCACCATGCCCAGCTTCCATTAAACATTTTAATTACATGGTGTGCACAAAAGCTTTACCACAGTGCAAGTTGCTTAGCTCATGCTTAACACATGGAACTTGTATAATAATCACCAAACTTCCATGGCACAGGCACAGCTTTCCACCCCTCAGAGCAGAAAGCGTGGATGAGGAGGAAGGAGAGGACTGTGAGGTCCCCAGGCCACATTCCCCAAGGGACAGCAAACAACGCCCCAGCTCTTGGTCTGCTCCAGGACACCTCAGGGTGGGAGTGGTGCCCGCCCGTGCTGTGTGCTGCCCACCTCTCCACCCAGCTTTTGTAGCTGGGGATGTCCTTGGCGTAGAGCAGCTTGTTGGAGGGTGAGTCCTTGCCCAGCCGGTGCTCCGATGTGGAGCAGGAGTCCATGAAGGTCTGGGCCACCACCGACAGGCAGGCGTCCGTGATGCTGCCCTTGTGGATGTCGAACACGAACTGCGGGTTCTTAATGACATTCACCCAGAAGCGCAGGGGGAGGCTGCGGGAAGAGGCAGAGCACCCGAGAATGACCCCTTGGCCCTGCCCTTATGTGCCCTGCTAGCATTCCTGCCCAGCCCTCACGGTCAAACCTATCTGAAATCACAGAAAATGGCTGCTCCTGCAGCCCTGGCTGCTCCCACAGCACTGACCCTGGGAGAGAAGCAGAGGGGCCTTGTAACTCCACGGGGGCCAACCTGCTCCCTAACAACAGAGGGGTGGGCGTGGCTAGACGTGGCTAGACTCAGCCCCTCCTGGCAGGCTTTTTGAAGGCCTTAGTGCCCCAAGGGAAGCCCAAGTACAGAGGACAGCCCAGTTTTCTCAGAGCTCCAGACAAAGCCACCAGGCTCCTGGAGTTTCCCTGCAGCCTTCTTGGCCATTGTCAGGAAAGAGGCCGCTGGGAGCCCCAGGCGCTGCCTCAGAATGGACACAAAGGGCGCCACCTGCCCTCTCTGGCCAGTCAGGCTGCCAGAGCCGCTTCCCAGGGCTGGCCCTGCCCAGCAGGGCCAGGAACAGGCTCCCCGGGGGCAAGTTCTTTCAGGACTCTCCCCAGGACTTTCTTGTGTCTAGGCAGGGGCAGAGGGAGAGGGGGAGGCTACTGTGGGCACCCTGGGAATGGTTTAGTGCAGCCCTGAGATTTTCCCACCCCAAGAAGAACCACTAGTAGTTAGGATACTTCCTTTGGTGACTCAGGAATTTTTAAGCAGAGAGGAGTTTTTTCTGTTGCTGAGGCCATAAGGCAGAAAAGCCGTTTACCCTCCTTCAAAACCTGAACAGCTGCTGTTTCCTGCCTTCCCAGTTCCGCCTTCTTTTCCAGTTGCCTTCCGTCCTTAACTCTCCAATGCTGTGTGTCATGTGCCTCGTCTCCAGGCGTGTCCTTCATCCCTGAGGTGATGGCCCCAGCTCCTATCTCCCCTTCTTTGTCCTTCCTTGACTCTCACAGACTCCAGATGTTCCCAAATGGCTTTGTACTGCCAAGTCTTGGGAAAGGCCACTGTACCCCACCCCAAGCCTGCCCATTATGATTTCTGCTTGTCCTGCAATAACAGAGACTTGCTCACTTTCCTGAGACCTGAAAGGAGCTGCTTCAGCTGAGAGCTGGTGCATCTCTTTGGTCCTCCTCTTCCTGGCAGCTCGCGGGACTTCTGATTTTCTTTGGACAAAGTTTGGACCAGGGAACTCTGCCCACCGCAATACCTGGGCAGTGCGTCTCTGTTGCTGGGTCTGGCCAGCCCACAGAAGGCACAGGGACAGGGTAACTCAGAACTTTCTCTGGATTTTCTCCAAACTGCCGATGCCCAGTGCTGGGCTGAGGATCCATTGCCCAAGGAGATGGCTGTGATCCACAGCTGGAATGCTGAGGAAAAGCCTGCCAGGGCATCCCGCACTGTGGGTGCTTTGCTCGACGGCCACCCAGCCTCTCTGTTTTTGCTGCACTGTGATCAAAGCTGCAGAAGTAGGAGGGTCAGTGACCACCACACCCCACAGAAGCCAGGAGAAGAGGTCAGGGTTGGCTCTTTCCAAACTGTTTTGTTGGTTGCTAGGACTTCTGATTCCCAAATAGCAGCCTGGGCCCATCTGTGTCAGCTCTGTTTTCTGAGATCGCTGACTCCAGACAGCTGCGTGGGCTGCCTGCCCAACCTGAATGCCAGGGCCCCCCCTCTCCCTGCTGTCTCCCAAAGGAAGCCTTTGACTCTGTCTTTCCAGGCCCTATCTGACCCAAAAACCAGGTCTTAGCTTGGCCTGTGGGCCAGGGTCACAACCAAGGAGAGATAAGTCTCATGGCAGGAGCTGAGGGAGCCATTCCTCCCACTGCTGGTCTGGATGTGGAGGTGCCTTTAGGGGAGGGAGCCATGCCTGCAGGACATTTGCCCTGCTGCTACCTGAAAGCCACGCACTGGGCTAATACCTGGGGTTTAGGGGATCAGGTCTGCACTGGAACTCAGAGCTGCAGGCTCAAGTCTGTAGCAGCTCCCTCCCCACCCGCTGCCAACTCTAACAGAGTCCTGTCTCAGGAAGTGTCCCTCTCAGAATACCCTGCAAAACTTGGCTCAGTTGCCAGCTTCCAACATGACCTCTGTGTAGGTTCCCCCAGTTCCCTTTTCCTGAAGACCTCCTGAAGAGGTCTTGGCATCAAGGGAAGGCTCACCCTGGGGAAGGTAAGCAGACTGCAAGGGTACAGCTTAACTGTGTGCAGAGTTCCAACCAGGGGGGTCCCCCTTGCAGCAGTCAGCCCGGAGATCATGCTGGTTCTGCGGAGTGTGCGTGTACTGTGTGTTTTAGGAATCTCCAGTCATGTAGCCCCAGCTGGGAACAGCTTGCCTTCCCATCTCCAGGGTCCCTGCTGTCCCTGCCCTCCCAGCTCAGGGCCTCTGCAGGCTGCACCTCCTGTGGGGCGCCCCTGGGGTTACCAGTTGCTCTTCCAGGTGTGCCGAACATCTGTGTCGTGGATGCTATGTCTGTCTGCCTGCTCATCCAGGAAGTCAAACATATATTTGATGGCCAGCGGGAGGGCGCTGCCCCGGTGCACAGTGCTGAACAAGGTCTCAAACAAGTCATCCACGAACTTCTGCAGGGTGCCCTGGGGGAGCAGAAGGGGGCAGTGTGAAGCGGAGGAGGGAGGGGAATGGCAGGCAGCAGACAGGAATGGCAGATGGTGCCTTGGGCCCATCCTGCCCGGGGAAGCCATCTGCGATGAGCGGCTGTGTGCACACTGTGGCAGGGTTGGAAGGGGCAGTGGTTGGGGTGTCAGGATATGGGAGGGGCTGGGAGCTGCAGAACCTCCCTCTAATCTGCAGTTGCCTGCCACTGTGATAGCAGGGGAGGGCTCGGGACCTCTCATGGAAAGATAGGAGGTGGTCTGCATCTAGGCTTTCCAAGGGTGAAGGGCACAGGCAGGCTGTCCAGTGCAAAGTATAGCTGGAGGACAGGGTGCCTCCTGGCTGGACGGGCAGCACCTGGGAGGGGCAGATAGTAGGTACAAAGAGCCTCAGGAAACTGGTGACCTGGCATGAGTGGCATCTGGAGCAGGGCCTTCAGGAAGACCTCTGGGGCAGGAGCCAGACTGGGCATGAGTCCCACATTTGCAGGCCCCAGGACCACCTTTGGGGGCCAGGAGAACCACTGACCCTCTCTCTTCCTTTGCTGCTCTTTCATTGTATGCTGGAAGCACTTGGGCAAAGCAAAAATGGAGCCAGGGGATCTGATGAAGGGATTCTGGGCCTTCCTGGGAGAAAGACTTAGGGCACCAAGCTAGAGGCCACTGTGTGAGACTCTCAGCAGCATTGCAGTGGGGTGAGTGGGGGAAATCTAGCCTCACTTGCAGATCTGAGCCATCTGACTGACATCCTTAAGGCTTACTTTATTCTCTACTAGAGGAGCTCCCTCCCATCTGCCATTCACATGAAGGCAGATGGACTGAGGTGAGGAGCCTTCCTTTAGATTATCAGTGGGATGGGGCTTCATGCTTTCTCTTCCATTTCGGCCAGAAACGGGTAGAAAAGGCAGTGGGGTGGAGGCTGGCACATCTGTCCAGCTAACACTAACAATAAACTCCCAGTGCCTTCTGGGGATGGGGCCCAGACTGAGAGAGTTCCTCCACAGAGGGGTAACAGTGGACAGGAGTTGGCGGACAGCAATGGTACCACTGCTACTTTCCAAGGGTAGAGAGCTGCTACCCCCTGGGGACTCTGTCCATGGTCCTGGACTGAGTCCCATCTCAGTGGGTACCTTTAGGGCTCCCCTGGCCTAAGCAGAGTAGGAATTACCTTGGTGGCCAGTAGCCGGGTCAGGTAGATCTCAGACACCATCTTGCTGCCCCGGTCACCCTCCTTCTGGTCACCGTGGTCATGGTTCTTCACTAGATGCCAGACCTTGACTCCACTCTCCAGGTCTGGGGTGATCATGGGGGCCCGGGACCGAAGGCTGTCAGGGCTGCCCGTGTACCTGAAGGAGGAATCTGGAGGGAAGGGGAGGGGTAGGGCTCTGAGTGACCGAGGCCATCCCCCTGCTGGCTGTGTCATTCCAGAGTCCTGCCCATCTGAGCCATCCACTCAGAATAATCTGGGTGGAATAGGGAAGGACCTATGGGACCTCATATTTGTTGGATTATTTTAGAGATCTCTGGTTGGCATGAGAAGAGGAGCCTGGAGTCTTTTTTAGAATGAGGAGCCACTCTAACTCCTTCACAAGCCTGTGGTCTCAGAGGAAGGGCAGATGTGGTCTCAGAGGAAGTGTCACATATGTTCTCATGCCTCTCTCAGGAGGTGCACCTGTCAGGAGTGACTAGGTTGGTGGGCCATTGCCTTTGAGTGGCAGCCAGACACGGGGCTTACTGCTGTGAGAAGGGGTGGTTCGTGCTCTTTGGGGCCACCACAGACCCTACCCAGAGCTGCCAGACTGGCTTCTGGGACTCACCATATCTGCTGATGGATGTCCGCGAGATGCTGGCAGAGGCAGGGATGTTGTAGGAGGAGGTCTGTTTGGGGACTAGAGCCACCACTGATCTGTCTGACACCTGAAATGGTGCAAAAGACACAATATGGGTGAATGTGGGTATCATGGGAAGTTACCTAGCCAAGTACTTCTGGAGGATTATGGGATATGAGTGGGTAGACAGTAAGGAATCCAGGAACACTAAAAATAACTTGTCGCTGCTGTTCTTTGCACTTTTATTGGATCACAGTGGCAATGCCTGATATGGTAGCTTTTGTTGCATGTGACTGCTGAGCCCCTGAAGTGTACTCAGTCCCAACTGGGACATACTCTTTTTGTCTGCACCGAGATGAGCTAAAAATATACCAGATAAACTGGATTTCAATGATTTAGTGTACATAAAAGAATATAAACTGTCTCATTAATAATTTTCATATTGACTATACATTGAAACAATACTTATTTTAGATTGATTAGGTTAAATTAAATACACTGTTAACATTAATTTCAACTGTCAATTTTTTCTTTTTAATGTGGTTAGTAAAAAATTTGAAATTACATGCACACCTTGCACGTGTTGTTTGTCCAGTGTCTCTCCTGGACAGATGTGGCCTCTGTCAGTCCTGCAGGTTCCAGGCAATTATTCCCATTTTACAGATAAAGAGACGGAAGCAGGGGGAGGCTAAGTAATAGCTTCAAGTTCACATAATGAGAGCCGATATTGGTAGCCAGATCTGTCAAGCTCTGGAGTACATATTCTCCTCATTATAAAGGATCACTTGGGATTTTATTTCAAGTCACACACATTTTCTCTTTTGGCTCTGATTTCTTCCTGGCCTGCATCCTAGGATGTCTGAGGCACCTTGAATAGTTTCTACCAAAAAAGGCAGCTGCCCTTTGGGAGTCGAAGAGAAAGACGGTGTCTTACCCCATCCTCTGGGAGGGTACCAGGCTCAGCACCCTGACTATGGGGATAAATGAGGAGCCATATTGAAGACATTTGGGGCCACTTTGATTTAAGATTATCCTCCATCCAATAAAAGTGGAGAATCCCCAGAATTCTGGTGATCCAATTAAACCCCTAACACAGAGGGAATAAAACAGCTATAATAATGTTATGGGCCATAAAACATTCCTATTAAACCATTTTTTATTTTAACAATTTTTATGAACTTTATAAGTGATTTATAGCCGCACCAGTCATAAAACCATCTTTCTGGGTCTTAAATTGTCAGTCCCTCTTTCCCACCAAAAAAGAATTAAATGTTGGGAAGTCAAACTATAAATGAACATTAATGCTAACGAGATTCCCTGATAGCCGGTTTTAGTGGTGGTGTTTAATTTTACCCTCCCTATAAATCTGCAGGAGCCTGGGTAGCTTTTTAACATCTCTTTATTAATTAAGATTATGCAGATTTTCTTCTGTGGGGGCTCCAAGGACCTTGGCCTCCCAGGGGGTCAACGAGAGGGCAATGCTTGACCTGAGCCCCTCACAGTGCTGGTCCTCCGCTTAGAAGGTGCCAGCACTCTGCTGCTTTCCTGGGCTGGTCAGTTTGCATCATCAACTCTGGGTCTGGGGCAGAGGAGAGGTCTGCCCACTTCTGTCTCTCAGGAATTTCTTTGCCACCGACACCCCTGAAATGACACTCCCATCACTTGGTGGGGACAGGGGTTTACACTCCCAATAAGAATCCATTTATGAGTTCCTGTCACCTAAAGGAAGAGCCATGAGATAACTCACGTGACTGGAGTTCCACTCAGTTCTAGTCCAGCCATTAAGCTGCCTTCGCCCTTGGCTTTTCTTTTTCTCAACCAAACTGGGTGCCCAAGATGCCCGGTAGGGTCTGTCCCTGACTACCAGCTGGACAACTTAATTCCTCTGGGCCTCAGTTGTTTCCTGCATCAGTGGGGACAAGAATTGTGTCTAGTAACCATAGCTGTGAGGATTACTAAAGGAATCGAGGGGCGTAAAGGCTAAACCAGAGGCTGGTGTCAGTGAGCTCTCAGCAAGCGCTGGTATCACTGTTGCCATTGTATCGCCATCATCGTTTTTATGGCTTATGTCCAGGTGTCCCCCTAAGCCTCATGAAGCCATATGGGCAGGTTTCAGAGGAGGCTGAAGGTAGTGTGTGATGCTGAGACTAAGGGTCTGTGATCAGTTCACTGACTAGATTGGCATTGCCCTAATCCCAGCAGCCATATAGAGTATAAAAGGGGCAGAAAGATGTGATTAAGGTTGCTTGTTGCTTTTGCTGTCTTCTGCCCACCATGAAAGGTTGCCCTTTTCCATACGCCACCTTGCTTTGGAGCCAGCCAGTTATGGACTACAACCTCTATAAACCGTGAGCTAAGTAAACATCTCCTCTCTTAACTTTAGGCTTGGGGTATTTTGTCTCAGCAATGAAAAAAGTAACTAAGACAATCTCATCATCACTGTCATCATCATCACCATTGCCATCCTCACCACCAATGTCTCCCAAGGGAAGAGATCCTGGGGTCCTCTCCACTCAGGGCTAGCATGTGAGAAGTGTCTCACACTCAGTAAAGCTCAGTAAATATTTGATAAATGAATGAATACATGAATGATAAATGACATCAGGGAATTGGAAATGCTTTGCATGATGAGCACTTGGAGGACAGACATGCTGTTTCATTCCTCTGGTCGGGTGCTGTAGGATGGGCAGCTGAGTAACAAGCATTAGAACCTCAGAGACAGAGCAGAAAGTCCCCATCCTGCCCTCAAAGAACACAGGACTTGGGGGCATGGCGCTGTTCTCCTTTGCACCTTCTTACTCAGCTCTAATTGGTTCATGACAATTATTCTGTTGGATGCATTTACCATGTGTCATGGTGTGGATGGTGTGTGTTCGTGTACAGAATTAACAGGGAATGATTAGAGCTACCTTGCACGTACACACGCACTCTGGGTACCTCACCGCTTGTTTCTAATCCTAGCAGATACCTTCGTGCATTCAATAGTCAATTATCTCCATTTTGCAGATGCGGAGCCCAAGGTTGAAGGAGATTAAAGTCACACCACCAGCGAGTGGGGAGGTGGGTTATGAAGATGCTCCCAAAGCCTTATCGCTTCCCTTTGTGCCTGCCTCATTCCACCTGGGCTGGGGTCCAGGCGAGGTGTGAGCATGGGGGATGAAGGCCAGTGAGAAAGATGAACCTGGGAGTACTGCTTGGGGTACCCCAGTGTCCCCTGGCATCCTTTGTGTTCCCGAGGCCCTGGGCCAGCTCCAGGGCTCCCAGCAGTCTGGTCACTGGCAGCTTTATGCATGCAAACCTGACCTGGCAGCCCCTCTGCATGCCTCCCTTTTGGAGACAGGGACATTGGAGGATATTATGAATCAGACAGCCCCCTGAGTCTTGCAGCCCCAGGCGCTTCCTCTAGTTGGTTTAATTTCCCTCAGTGTCTCTCATTTCCAGTTTCTATTTCAGTATCTTCCCTGAGTCCCAATCTCTCTACCTGTGCTTAATCTTAGAGTCCCCCAAGCCCCAGCCATGATTATTTCCGGGGGATGGGAAGGGCTACTCCGGATTCGGTGTCCTTTTCCTGGGGGGTTTAACTGCTCACTGTATCTTCTAGTGTGCAAATACATTGCTGGCTATGCTTCATCCCGTCCACGTTCTAAGTGGGGCAGGGCTCCCTTTTGCAAGCAGAAGACAGCTTAAGCAACTCTTCTGCGGACATGAGCTGCAGGACCTGAGGACAAGCCTCTCAGATTCCCTGCTACACTGCAAGCCCCACAGCTCAGCTGCAGGAGAAGGAAACCAGAGAGGGTAACTTCATAATAGGTAGGCTTTCCTATAGACATGGAGACCTGGGACAGGCAGGCCTGAGTCTTAGCCCGGCCAGTTAAACCTCTTTGGAGGGCAGAGTCTGAGGACTCTTTTAATTGAGGGAGCACCAGGAGCCAAGAAACCCTGTGCCAGGCCCTGGGAAAAGGAAGAAAAGGAGAACAAACCCGCTTGTAAGGTCTGAACCCTTACAGCAAAAACTAGAAGGAAGGAGTCATTTAGGGGTGCTGAAGTCCCTAGCTCACTCTCCTGCAGCACAGCACCACGCTGAGCAGAGGCCCCACCCCTGCTGGTAACCTGGGCCTCACCTGATAGTGCAGCAGCGTGTTGAGCCGCTTCCAGTCACCCTCAATCTTGGTGGTGATGTCCTCGTCTTGCAGGACCACCCTGGCGATGCGGCCTTGGCGCCACTCTGGGTGGAAAAGGTGGTACAAGTGCAGTGTGAGAGGGCTGGGGCTGCAGGTCAAGGTCACCTGTCTGGGCCCGCTCTAGGGATCTGGCGGCCCTGGAGCCCTGGAGCTAGTGCCAATGGCAGTGCTTAGAAGCATCCACGCCTACATGGGGCAGGGAGCCTGGAAAGCCTCCCAGGACGGCTGTGTCTGCACAGTCCACGCTGAGGGCGATTTTCTCAGTGCCCTTGCCCGGCCTGCACCCTGTGACACATGCTCCAGGAGGGCAGGTTTGGCCTTGTCCTGCCACTCCTATGGCTGGATGCCTCCAGGAAGCCAGGGGAGCCCCTCTTTTCCCTCACATTCCAAAGCTGGGCCTCCTACCCAAGTCCATGTCCACAGCCCGTGGCCGCTGGGAGTAGGGCACGTTCTTATACACAGCATCGAGGATCTTCTCCTTGACCTGCGTGATGGTGTCACAGTTCAGCACCTTCACTGGGATCTCTGGGCTGTTCTCGTTGTCAGGATTGACACAGTTCAGGATCTGGAAGTGGGTCATGGGTCAGCACCTGAAGGGGCAGTTTGGGGGAGCCGGGGGCCTCAGTCTTCTTACCCAAGGGCTGCCCTCCTGCCCTCCTCAGTGTAGTTCTGTTCTGTGCCTCAGCTCCTCCCCACTTCCTGGTATTGGCCATGAGAGCCTGAGTCACCCTGTCCACTCCTCTCCTAGACTCAGGTCTCTACTTCCTAGTTCCTGGATGGCTCTGGGGAGACTGTGATCTTGGGATGAGGCCCCTGAGGGCACTAGGGTGATTTCAGGAGGGTCAAGGCCTGGGCTCCCCTTTCCCCAGACCTTCTATGCTAGGAATCAGCAGATTCGCATTCCTTCTCCCTAATATTATATGCAGTAAACCAAGGCACAGAGCTCCCAGAGCTCACCAGATGAGGCTGGGAGAAAGGAAGCAAGGGGGCTGCCTGTCCTCGACATGCTTAATGTATCCCCAGGCTCCCCTCATCTGTCCTGCTGTCTCTACTGGCCCTATGGACTGGCGCCAGGGTCAGAGGGTAGGGTGTGGGTGGGGCAGGTGGTACCCGGGCTGTCCTGGGCCCAGCTGCTAGCCCCTCACCAGCGTCTTGTACTCGATCTGCTGCCGGATGAGCTTGTCCTCGCTCAGGGAGTAGCGGGCCTCGCCTGTGATGGCATCGATGGGGCCCTTCTCCATCTGCTGCTTGATGGCACAGTACAGCATGAAGAGCGGCTCCCCGGCACACTCCTGCAGACACAGTGGGGTGTGGGAAGTGTGGGATTGTGCCCTTCCTCTCCTGAGTGCCTCTGGGGTGTGGAGGTAGGGAGAAGGGGCCCGAGGGGCCAGGAGCTTGGGAGCAGCAAGGTCAGGGAGTCCCGGTTCCTGAGGGCTGAGGTCTTTCTCACCTTCAGGAACTTGTGCAGGAGGAAGGCGAACCAGTTGGTCAGCATCTTCTCAGCCACAGACTCTGTCCTGGGGAGGCAGAGGAGAGAGGGCAGTCATTAGGGAGGGTCTGAGACACAGTGCTGAGCTTGGTATGGGGGCACAAGAAAATGCAGAGCTGGCCCAGGAGGCCAGGTCCAGCCCAGCTGCACCAGGATCTGAAGTACAGCTTAGGTCTGAGAGTTTCTTTGGAACTTTGATTGCCTGTGGAGATGGTGGGTTAGGACCTTCATCCCAGACTGCTTTGGTGCTGGAGGCAGGGGCTGCAGATCCAGTCCCTATCCTGGAGGCTGAAGCACCAGTTCCCCCCACTCCCTCTGGTCTCAGGGTGATGAACAGAGGTTTCCTGTTCCTCTGCCGGCTCCTGCAGCCTGAATACTCTGTTTTGCACATCTGGCATCTGCCTCTCCCAACAGTCAGGGTCTGGCTGTCATGGGTTCAAATCCTGGCTCTGCCAGATACTGGCTGTGTGACCTTGGGTGAGTCATTTCACCTATCTGGCTTCAGTTTCCTCATTTCTAAATGGCACAGTAGTAGTATCTACCTCACACAGCTGTTAGGGGTTGAGTGTTAAGATATTCAAAGTGGCTCCAGGATACACTGTGTAAACATTAGCTAGCATTACTACTGTTGCCTGTGCTCTGGATCCAGCCCTGTACGTAGAGAGCAGTGCTTGAGTTTAGCCAACAGGAGATCTGTTTTTGCAAGCACCACCCCCTCCACTCCCCCACCCCATTCTTGGGCTGTGAATCTGGGGACTTGGGAAGAAACAAAGCTGCTGTGACAGACCCTTGGGGATGGAAATGCTGCAGGGGTATTTTAACTCCCTGCACGTGGTGCAAATTATACCCTCTGGTTGCTGTAAATCCTAGGCATTTGCCAGGGCGGCTCAGAAACCTGGGCCGGGGAGAGAGTGACAATGGCAGAAAAAATTGTAGCTTTCTCCCCGGGTCCTCCCAGCAACCTCTCCCTGCATTGTGCCTGAGATTAGCTCTAATTTAAATACAACAGTTCCTAATGAGAGTTTCTAATGCTCAGATTGGCAGGATGGGAGCTCAGTAGTCATAAAACAAAGCCAGGCTGCCTCCCTGCTCACCCCACGTGGGCCCTGGAAGCCTGAGACCTGAATAGCAGAAAGCTCAGGAGGAGGGGCTGTGAGTGAAGGTGGCTCCTTCCAACCCCTGCTGCCCAGAGGGGTCCAGGGCTGTGCTGGGCTCCCTGTGGCCTCTACAGTGGGTAGATGAAGGGGATGCCAGATCTGTAGACCTCTCCCACACCAGGAAAATGACAAGTGCGGCAGGTACCAGATACTGGCGATTCCATCCCAGGAGGCTGGGCACAGAAGCTGTGCCATATCTCTAGCTCAGTGCAAGGCAATGGAAGTGTCAGTGGAGATGGGCACGATTTCTGGCTGTGCTAGCCAACACGGCAGCCACCAGCCACAGGTAGTACTGGGCAGCCGAGCACTGAGAATACGGTCAGCGTGATCAAGCAAGTGAAGTTTGCATTTTATTTCATTTTGGTTAATAGCTCCCTATGGCTAGTGGCCTCCATGCTGGACAGCACAGCTCCAGAGGCAGAGGGAGGGAAAGACACTGCAGGACAGGTGCTATTCTCATAATGTCTAGGAGAAGACTAAGCAACAGCGCCAGCAAGTGGCAAGGCTGGGGTTTAAAGGGAGGTTCCCAAGCAGACCAGGTCCACTTGGCTGCTTAAGACACTGTGGTCTTTTGGAACTGCAGGACCAGACTCTACTCTAGGGAGATTTGTGGATATAGGTTGTGCTGTGTGGGTGCCATTTCTGGGGACTGAGCATCTTCCTGTGTTGCTTAGGTGCCACGTCCCTGTTCAGATGCTGCTACCCTCCCTCGCCCTGCTGTGGGTCAGACCTCCGCAGCAGTAGCTTGGGGTGGTTCTTGTTCTCCAGGTTCTTCTCGATGAGGTCAGACAGCAGCTGCTTGAGGACATCGGTGGCGTACTCCAGGCGGCCCTGCAGGCCAGTCATGATGAGCGAGGCCACATTGCCACGGTCGCGCATGGAGAAGCTGCGCTGTAGCTCCAGCGTGCGGATGAAGGTCAGCAGGAAGACCTTGTTGTTGATGAGCTGGGCAAAGAGCTTCAGGGCCTTCTCCACATGCTGCTGCCCATTCCCCTGGACCTGGGAGGGATGGTGAGAGACTTCTCAGGCCAGGCTGTCGGGAGGGCCTGCTGGTGTGGACTCTTTCCACGAGGCCTATGGAAAACTCCACTGATTGCCCACCCACGCTGTTGGAGGAATGGCTGTTTTCTGAGGACCACGGTCTGCTCTGGCTTTCCACTAGGTTAATGGCTAGGCTCCATAAGCAGCTCTCCAGGGGAATGCTGTGGGCTTCCCCCAAGGACACAGCAGGAGAAAATCCACCAGACTTCCTCAGTGCACCAGCCTCCCCTCAACATCCCCTGTCCTGATTTATTAATTTCAGTAAAGCAAACCAACAAATGAAGGAACAAAATTCACAGAGTCTTAAGTCTTTCTTAAGCCACCTAAACCCATTCTAGAATGAGGCAGGATTTTTGTTGTTAATTCAGTCATTAATTAAAAAAGACAAAGAATAAACCTCATCCTGGAGTGGTCCCCAGGTGTCAGAATGCTCCCTTGGCTGTGACTTGCCAGATAGGGATATTGCAGTGAGACTCTTCTGAACCGTCACCTCACACTTCTAACTGGACTTCAGGCTGTGGGACCCATCTGAGCTTCCTGGGGAGCATGGGCCTGCATTCCTGCAGGGTGGCTGAGCAAGGAGACAGGCATTACCTCCAGCTCCCGCAGGACGGGATGGTCTTCGATGCCTGGGAACAGGACTCGCATAGCATAGGTACGATAGTCCAGGTAGGGGATTCCAGAGCGGTCCAGGTCACTGGTTAGCTCATTGATGTCAGTCTGGAGCTCAGCAAAAGCTGTGAGAGTGAGTGAAGACAGGGAGACTCAAGGGGAGCCCCAGTTGGGGCAGAGGATAGCAGGAGAAGATAGTGAAGGCAGGGTGCCTGGGGTGCAGAGGCAGTGAGGTTCACAGGGCAGGACTGGGGGAGGGGTACAGAGCTATTTCCAGGATGCCTGCTGTAGCTTGGATTTTGTTTCCCCCAAAGGCCCATGTATTAAAGGCTTACTCCCCACACTGGTGTCAGTGGGAAGTGGTGGAAAATTCAATGGGTGGAGCCTACTGAGAGGTTTTTAAGGCATTGGAAGGCAGCTCTAGAAAGAGACTATGAGGCCTGCTACAGTTTGAATCAAAAATGTCTCTTCCAAACCTCATGTGTTCAGAAATAGGTCTTTTGGAAAGTGGTTGGATCATCGGGGCCTGTGCTCATACATTAATGAGTTCATTGCTGAATGTGCCACTGAGGAGGCGGTGGAGGAGGTGAGTTGTTGGGTGTGCCCTTGGAGGATATACAATATTTCTTGCTCTGGCTCTTTCATCTTTTTCTTCCTGGCTTCCATGGTTGAGCAGCTTTCCTCTACCAGTCTGTTCTGCCAGAACATTTTCTGCCTTGGAGCCAGCTGAACATGAACTGAACTCTCTCAAACCATGACCCAAAATAAATCTTTACTTCTTTAAGTCCTATATATCAGGTACTTTGTCCCAGCAACCAAAAAAAAATAATGCCTAAAACAGGATCCTAGCCCCTCCCTCTTCTGCTCTCCCACTTCCTGGCAATGACAAGTATGGTTATGCTCCACCATGTACTACTGCCAGTTGTACTGCCTTAACACAGGCCCAAAAGCAACAGGGCCAACAGTGTAAGGCTGAAAACTTGGAAATCTCTTTTCTCTACAAATTGATTATCTAAGTACTGGTTACAGTGACAGAGCACTAACTAAGATACTGCCTTCCTTAGCTGATGAAAAGATGGTTGTTTTTTATATTATTTTAGCTTCTATGCTTATCTATGATTTTGATTTTCTTTGTGCATATTGCAATGTGGTGAAAAGAAAGAAGGAAGAAAGGATGCCATACTGAACCATTTGATAAAGATCTTGGAGATTCTAAAAGCAGGGGAAGAAATGGTTGGGGTGATCCAACAAAGACCAGAACAGGCAAACTGTTGCCTTTTTCCAAGCAAGCAGATAAACCAAGATGCAACTCCTGGTCATGGGGAACTCAACTATGCAACTCCTTGGGCAGCCTTGGTCATGGGCACTCAACCCACAGGAGAGTCCGGGAAGTGCAGGCTTCCGAAGCCTCACCCCTGTGTCAGCCCCGTCTTTAAGGTGCCCAGACTCTGCAGGGCTAGTGTGAAGAGGAGCCTTTGCCTCACTCTTCCCAGCATGGCTCTTCCCTTTCATGCAGCAGAGCCCTTGTTTCTGATAATGCTGTTTGCAGCAAAAGGATAAATGTTTTGATTCCTAATCGAGATGTTTACTCAGAAAACCTGCCAGGTCCTAAGCCCCAGAGAATACCGGGTCCGCTTGTCGCCTTGTGGCTGTGGTTGCGTGGGAGATGGAAGAAAACACAATTGCTACTCCTACACACAGGCACAGCCAAGGTTGCCACCAGCAAGGCCTTCAGCATGCTTGCCCTGCAGTGCCGATAAAAAACAAACCCTGGGGAGGTGATGGGGTAGAAAGAAGGGGAGGTGCCCACCTGCCTTTCCTGCTGATGCTTCTAGATGCTGCACAGATGCCTCTATGAAAACCAGGGACCTGACCCTCCTGTCTGGAGGATGGAGTCTGAGCCAGGGGGCCATCTGTGGGGACATGGAGGCCCTGGGGTGGGGAGTCAGCTAGATTGTGGGTGGAGTACAGCAGAGTGGGGCAAGAACTAGGCAAGCAGACCTGAGTCCTCACTGTGAACCTCTTCCAAGTGGCTGCTCTGGATTTGGGGGAAAGCTAGTATCTGGAGAAATGGAGGTCCAGGCAGTATGAAGGGTGGGAGTGAAGATGGGGGTCATTTGCAAGGCGGGGAATGGCGAGGCTGGAGATGAGGGGCGGTCCAGGCTGCGCTCACCCTCTTTGCATTCCAGAGCCACGCGTGACTCCAAGTTGTCCATCTGCATCTGGAGCCGCTTGAGTGTGAGGTCGTTTTCCCGAGACTTGCGCTTGTAGGCGATGAGGACGATGATGACGATGATGAGCAGGAGGCTGCCGCCGGCCGCGATGCTGACAATGGCTGGCAGGGTCAGCAAGCTGTCTGAGAGGACACTCACCGAGCCAGGAGAGAACACCATCCCGCCCACGTGAACCTGTGCACGGTACACACACAGATGCACACGATGCACATGGGTGTAGAGCCCTGGCATGCCATCACATCCTTACAGTCTGAGCAGGGACACGACACAGCACCACTGCACAGTGCAGACTTGGATATGAAGCGATTTCCCACCCTGGTGTCTGCCCTCCTTCTCGTGCATGTGCGACTGCCACCAATCTTAACGCAGGATGCAGAGATGAGGAGATACCAGGGCGTGAGTCGGGCAGTGAGGTGGAAGGAAGAGCCTTCATGACAGATCACATGTGCACAGTGGGGAGGGGAGGGAGAAATGGAGGGGCTCACTCACCATGACCTTGTGCTGCCCCGTGAGGTTGGGAGGTTCACAGAGCAGCTGCGTCTCGGACACAGTGACCGTGCAGGGCGTCTCTCCAATCAGCACCGTGTAGTTGAGTTTGGCCCCTCCGGAGGCAGGAGGGCAGAGGTTTTTGCCCTGTAGAGATCAGCAGTCTCAACAGGAAGAACTGACACGGGCACACAGACATTAACCGCTTACTCAAAAGAGATGAAGGAGGAAGAGGAAGGGTGGCCAGGCAAAAACCAATACATGACCCCAGGGTGAGGTCTTTGGAGGGGGGCACAGAACAGCCACCACATAGAGAGAAAGCGAGGACACAAAGAGGAGATACTGAGACTGGAGAAGACAGGGGAAGAAGCAGGGGAAACAAGACACTTAACAAGGAAGTTAGGACAAGGATAGATGGGGTTGAGGTGAAAGAGTAGGGCAATGACACTCTCGGGCAGACAGCACCAGAAGACTGTGGCCTCCTGAGGTCACCTGGCACAGAAGTGGCTCGTAAGAGGAAACGCTACTCCCAAGGCCCGTCTGAACCTATGGTTCCCATAGTTTGTTCTTCTGAGAACAAACAGGAAGAATGGAAAGTGTCACTGAGAATGGAGCTAGGGGGTGCAGGGCTCAGTTAGTATCTGTTAACAGCCTCCCCCTACAGGGAGATGGTGCCCTGGGGTCCGTGTGTGCAGACGGGCACAGCAGAGGGCAGCCAGGCAGGACAGTGGGCAGCTCTCTCACATCATGGCCCTTACCTTCAGAATGATGGGCGACCCCGGCTTCTGATCCAAGACGCCCGTGGGGCTGAGCAGTTCGAAGGTCGGGTTGGGGTAGTAGGTGAACTTGGTGTCGTTGTAAATCAGCAAGGACTGGACGTTGTTAAAGACAAACCCGAACTCATCAGGCCGCTCCACGGTGTCCAGGCCAGGGCGATAATCGGTGGTCAGAGAGGGTGCCAAGCAGGTGAGGGTGGTTGCATTCACAACTTTGCACACCTAGGGGCCCAGAGCACAGAATTTGAATGCCAAGCTCCTAGGGGACAGAGGTAGTGGCCCAATGCCCACCTCTGCCGTTTGGCCAGTCACCACTGGTGGCTTGCTCCTCTTCATTACATGGCAGGTCCTTAAGGAAAAGAGCAGTGGCTTTTTTTTTTTTTTTGCACAGGTTGGGGGAATGCTTTTGACCTCATTCATTCACACACCCATCGACACTGAGTGCCTACTTCGTGCCAGGCACAGAGTAGGACTTGGGGTTGTTGAGGGAAATAGTCACAAGTTCAAGGGGCAGATGGGTGATTGAAGGAGTATTACCAAACAGATCCGTCGACCATGAGATATATGAATGGATGGGAAACATGCCCTGGTGAGAAGGACTCTGGGAGTGTGTATGAGTGTGCTGAACTGGAGCAGGAAGAAAGGAACACCTTATAATGTGAAGAATGAGTAGCCTAAGAGGGAGTGGGAGGAGCAAGTTCCAGCTGGGGGAGCACAGAGCATGTGGTGGGGGAGGAGAGAGAAAGAGAGGGAGAGAGAAGGATACAGTGTAGGTGAACACTGCCCTGTGTGTATTATGTGCTTGATATGCTTGCAAAATAACCTGATGGCTAAACAGGATCTTGCAACTCTTTGCATGTTTAACTCACGGCTTGCTCTCTTTTCTAACCACGCACCCTAACCCTGCACTAGGGTAGGAGGTTGGAATTGACACTGAGCTTAGCATGTCCTTTGCTCTTGTAGATTCTGGCCTGCCATTTAAACTCCTAGCGGGGTAGCCCCTGCCAAGCACAGTCTGAGCCATTTTCTCCTTCTGGTTACTTCCGGGGCTGCCGGTGGTGGCAGACGGACTGAAGAAACCACAGAAGGACCCGGCCTCCTGCCCCCTCTCCTCCTGGCTCCTGCTCACACAGCTTGGTTCAGCTCTGGGAGCCGGGCATCCTGGAGCAGCCAAGGGCATCTCTGAGAACTCAGATCACCCAAGTACAGGCTGTCCTGGCAGGGTGAATGCGTGTGTCTGGCCAATGTACACATACTCCGGCTTCACGTTCACAAACACGACCATGTGTGCCACTGTGACAAAGCTGACACTTACATACAGACTGTGTCTAGAGATGACATCAGAGCTTCAAGTTCAAGTCTTTCCCGCCCTTTCCTGAGAGAGCTCGGGAGTTTAAACAAAACGACCCACTGTGGCTTCATGATGCAGAAGAGGTCAATACCTGCTCCCCCCTCTTTCACCCACACAGTAGCAGCCCCCTGCTGACTTATTTTCCCCTTCTTATTGCAGCTGGGGACACTGAGGCATGGGAAGAGCAAGAAGTGCAGTTCCACCTGGGAGTGGGATCTGCAGATAGGACACCCGTCTCGGGGTGCCTCTCAGGCCTCCTGCCCAATTCTTCCTCCCACTCCTGCAGTTTCCCTAAAGTAGGCTGCTCTATGAATAAGCAAATCAGCTCCAAACAAGAGGCCTCTGTGTGTTTCCTGCCCTGTGCTGCTTCGGCACTTTGTCTGCCAAACATTCCTCTGGGTTTTGTGGCTTTGCTCGGCCCTCCTCACCACCCACTGGGTTACTCTGAAACCAAAAGCGAGGAGGAGGAGTGGCCCAGGTGGGCTGAGGATGAGGAGGGTCCAGTGGACCCACCTTCCTTCAACAAAGCACAGGGCTGAAGTCATAAGCACGGGCCAGGCTGAGGGGCACTGCCTGGCCACACGTCTTTCCTGAGAGCAGCTCACCGCAGAAGCTGAGGGACGCTGGTCCTCCAAAAAGTGGACCTACATCTTGACTCCTCAAAACATGGCCATGGTTGAGTGGGGCTGGGAGCAGTGCTAGGGTATTCCTGCCTGGGCCGCTGCTGAGTCCTCGCGAGGGGAGAGAGGACTCGGGACCTTACACCAAGACTTCTCTATGTGAGGTTTCGGCCAGTCCTCTCTTCTAAGGGTTTTGAGGACAAAGCCTGTAGCTGTTGGGAGTTGCCCTTCTGGGTCACACACTCACTTTCCAAACTGCTCTGTGGTGCTTTCGTGTAGTTCATTTTCTGTCTATTAGTGTTTGACCCCCGGGGCCCTGCTGGCTGGGGAGAGCATATCCTCACAGGGCTGGCTCATTCTTACAGGTAGCAAAGGGCTGGCCTTGTGGGGTGTGCCCAGCATATGCAAACCAACCACCCAGCACCTCCGCACCTGTTGTATATTCCCACTCACTGCCCATTGCCTTAATCACCCCAGGACTGCTACCAGACACCGAGGGACAGCGCTCACAGAGTCCACTAAAATTGCTCGAGCCAGCCAATCCTAAACCTGCTGGCCCCACTGCGCCTGCTGCTTCCTGTTGACACCACAGTAGAGGCTTTGGCCACATTTTCCTTCCCTCTCTGCCTCCTGGCTGCCCACTGCTCCTCCAGTCACCCCATGGAATACATGGTTCCTTCTCTTGGAGTCTAGCCTGTGAGGATCAACACCATACTCTGGCCTTGCCAAGTCTGAATAAAATAAGAACACTTGTATTTAAAAGCACGCACAGGGCCAGGCAGATGGCTCAGGGGTGCAGTGCCTGCTTGGCAAGTGCAAGGTCCTGAGTTCAATTCCCAGTACCCCCCAAAAAAATGCACATACTTTTCTTGGGTAGTGTATCATTTCCGGGTGTGAGCTCACTGAACCCACACCTGACCTCACATCTGCCGAGGCCCCAGCATTTGGTGATGTGCCCCCTCCAGGAGCGCCTGGGTACCAAGGGAAGTGGTCAGGGCACAGGTTCTCTTCCCACAGGTCAGGCTGTGCCCTGAGCAGAAGAGGCATGTGCTCACCTCACCTGCAGCACTCACCTCACCTGCAGACCATGGCGGGAACTGCAGTGTGGCACAGGTGGCCCCAAGCCTCTGTCATGGTACAAATGCCAGCCCCACCCAGTACTTCCAGCGGCCTAGTTATGAAAAGTATGGGTGCCTGGGATCAAACATGGCCCTGCTACCAGTCACCATTACCATTAGGGGCCAGCCATTTAGCCATTCAGGCCTCAGTTTCCCCAGCTATGCAATGAGTGGACCCCTGAGACCTTTCTGGGTCTGACTTCCTAGCACATTATCTCATTTTGTGCATGCCAGTGTTTCCTGCCGGGCTTTGGCACCCTGAAGAAACAGCAGGGATAAGAAGAGAGACAATACCACTGTCCACATCGCCAACTTTGCCTCACCAATCCCCTGAAGGTCAGAACATTCATAGTAGTGATTCCCATGAAAAACAGTAATTGCCAAAATAGCATCTTCTGGGCTAAATTAAGGATATCATAATGGTTCAGAAAATACTGGCTGCAAAGAGTGAGATGGAGCCATTAGAACAAACTGAAAACTACACAAAACACAGCAGAGATTCTGCTCTTGACTAAGAGGACTTCTTTACCACCACAAAAATCCATAGTGGAAAAAAATTAAATGACACGGTTCTGCAAAGGGAAATAAAGGAAAATGCTCAACTTGGCCATCTCAGCAATTAGTGCCCAGCCAGTGTCAGAATCACCTGCACTCAGTGACTAATATTACCAGGTGCCAGCCAAGCCCCTTGCATGTTTCAGGCTGTGAGGCAGGTCTTATCATGGTCATATTTACAGTGGAGGAGTGTAGGTTAAATGTCCTAGAGAGGTTAAATGTCCTGCTTCCAGTCGAGAATTTCTCCCACTCCACACTCCTCATCGGACCTCAAAGTACGCATGTTATAAATAGGGCCCTTCTGGTACCGTATCAGCTCAAAAGCCACTACTTTTCTACACTCTCTCTCTCACTTTCTGACCAGAAAGTATACAGTAATTATAACAGTCATTATAAGGCTCAAGTATTCAGCACCATGATTCTAGCCTCAGAGTCTTGGGCCAGCTTCCCCTTCCAGCATCCAGGGGTTCCTGCACCTGACCTACAGTTCCTGGTGCAGCAGAACACGCACAGGGATGGGTTACTCACATTGACAGATTCTTTGCCATTAAACTTGACTCGGATCCGTGGCTCTTGAATGACATCCAGGTTGAAGCCTGTGATGGTCAAGGGTGTATGTCCACTGGGAATAAGCAGAGGCTGGGTTAGGTAAAACCCCCAAACCTGGCGTGGTGAGCCTCACTCCCTGGGATTCCTCTGCTGAGCCAGATGTCAGCTGCAGGGATGGTGACCCGTGAGACAGGAGCTTCACACCAGCCTCTGCCTTACCTGGTGATACTCCACTCGGGCTCAACGCGCTGGACCCGAGGGTCATCTATGTACTCAAACTGCAGGCTGTTATCCACATGGGCTCTGTCCACGCTCACTGAGACAGGCACTGGGCCCAGCCCATTGGATGATGGGGGAGAGACACACACGATTTCGTTCATTGACCTCCTGAGGGAAGACAGCACGAGGTTGAGAAGAAAGGTGTATCTCCTGGTTTGGAAAGGGGCTCCTATCGGTCCAGGGGTACATTGCAGGAAGTGACCTGCTATTCTTTCTTTTTTTTTTATTAGTATATGTTCAGGATATCTAATAAAGACATTGGCCCACGGGGACTGGCACACACACATTGCAGCTTGCTCCTTTTTACTTCCCCTTCCTCCCGCCTCCCCCACCCTACATACTCTTCCCATCTGCTCAGAGTTTATCCCCTTATTTGTGGCCTGCTGCTCTTTTCTGCTCTGTGTTGTCCATGGCCATTGGTGCCCTGATCCTGGTTGGATTAGGGAGCAAGCACACTGGGGAAGTGGGTGGAAAATATGGGGCAAGCACAGGGCTCCACGAGCTATGGGGAGCCTTGCTTTTTGGATTTTTCTAGACTATGACTAACTAATACTTAGTCTGGTCAGGTTAAGAACCTCATATATTTAGTGATAAGCACCCAGTGCCTGCTTTTTTTGTAGCATTTATGTGCAAGACAGAGATTACCAGGTAGACAGCCCTGGGCACACTGGATTCCCAGCCATGGATCTTCACAATTCTCTCTGGAGTCTCTGCATTCCCAGGGCTCATGGGAGCAGCTGACAATTGGGGCTTTCAGTTCTTTATGCATAGGAGATGCCCTGAGCATAGGTTTGTGTGCTTATAAAACCTAACCACCAAGCCTTTACGTCTCTGTGCACCAGAGCGGGAACTCAATCCATGTTTAGAGGACATGGATTTTTCACAATTAGTGAGGACTATGGAGGACTCCTGGCTTGGAGGACATGGATTTTTCACAATTGGTGGAGGACCATGGAGGACTCCTGGTTGCCTTCTTCACCTGGTAGTCTCATGGCCCTCTCTTCCAATGACCTTGAGAGGTGACTAGCTCCCAGTTTATACAGGATATAAGCTGACCAGTGAATGGTGTACATTTCCCACAATGGCTGGAATAGCAATCTGGCCCAAGTAGCAAATAACACAGAGGTCGGGTCTACCTGTGAACATGTGCAGGAACACATGTGCACATGTCCCAGATACACAGGCTTCTAGATGGCCTTCAAGTTCATCTCACCCATAGAACTCGCAGGTCTGGTTGCCCAGGTACACCGCCACGCTGCTTCCAGCACCGAGGTAATGGCCTGTGATGGTCACCATGGTACCGCCCGACTCTGGCCCTCGGATGGGGTTGAGCGACAGCACTGAAGGATTCTTTGGAAAGAAGCAGAGACATGCTCACAGTTTAGGCTCTAGGCTAGGCCTCAGTGGGGAGGAGGGACTACCTCACTGTGGGAGGGGAGGTGCTTCTGCCCTGTGTAGTCCTAAATGCTCTCTGCTTCCTGCTGGAGAGTCAGTCCAGGGAAAGCAGAGGGCAGAGCACAGGAATTAATGAACTCCCTGGGGAGTCTCATGCTCATAACACTAAAGGGAAAGTGGAGTGACACTGACTAATCTATCAATTAGTTTACAAATTGAGAACAATTTGAAAATGCTTCTCTATCTAAAGCTTGTCTTGATTTTTGGCACAAAATCTATAGGGCTGAAGAAAGCATCCCTGCCTAGATTGGGCCACGGAGAAACTGTGTCCTCCATAAATGGCCCGAGTGCATGTCCTTTGTTCTTCCCCGAGCAGGCGAGGGGCTGAGTGCTGAGCTGCTAGTACAGTAAGCATTCAACATGGCTTCAATGCCCCTTGCTAGGCAGATGGCGCACTGCTGGCTGGAACTTTTTAGTGGATGTGCTAGGTTGTAACATTCAGCCTAAAGCTCAAACAAATGTCTCGCTTAGAATTTGCCAGGCAGCTGTCCCAAGTCACAAAGGGACTGCTTCTGCCTAGAGGGCAGTGAAGGGCACAGTGCATTTAACTGAGCCACGACACAGGTATGAATTCTAGACTGCATTGCCCCTCACTACTGTGGACATGGATTTGGTTCCTCAGCAGGTGAGGCAGGTGGGCAGGATTATCCCTAAAACCCCTCCCAGCTCTGACATCTACAGCTTACAGGATGGTCCCTATCTGACCATCCTGTGTTTGGGGAGGAGATGCAGAATGTTGGTTCCAGACAGGTCCTGGTACCCTCCAATCTGAGCAAGAAAAAGGCAAGGTAAAGACAGAAATGCCAAGACGAGAAGACAAGATCCACAAAACCTAAAATAAGCGATACAATGCTTTAGAGAAAAGAGAATTCTGTGGCTTAATGATTTTTCAAAACTCTTAGCAAGGCTGGTTTGACCCCATCCACTAGTGTTAACCCTTTTTAATGAACTACTCGATATGGCAATGTAGGGAAGTGTTAGGCCACAGATCTCAGGGCCCCAGAAGGAAGTTATTGATTCAGAACAAATTTAGCAACTGCAGACTCCAGGGCCTCAGAAGCGAGTTATTGATTCGGTGTGAATTTAGCACCAACCTTGCCGAAAACTTCTGCGATGCTACTACTTGTTGCTTGAGCATGACGAGGTGTTCTTAGATGTGAATGTGCATGTGTGTGTATGTACCTGTGCTGACACACACAGTGTCTGGCTCACACCCCCTGTCCTGGTCCTGGGTACAGAGGCACTGTCCTTGTTCGGTTTCAAGGACTCCTCTGAGCCCCCACTCAAAATATCCTTGGCAGAAAACAGAACGTGTGGATAATTCTAGACCTGTTAAACTTGGTCCCTCCAGCCAATCAAACTCAGTGGAAGAACGATAGCCTCTTTAATAAATGGTGCTGGAAAAACTGGCTTGCTACCTGCCAAAGACTGAAAATAGACCCAAGTCTATCATCATGCACCAAACTCAAGTCAAAATGGTTCACAGATCTCAATATTAAAACAGAAACATTAAATCTATTGGAAGAGAAAGTAGGTAAAAACCTTGAAGACATAGGGGTAGGCAGAGAGTTCATGAACAAAAACCAAAATGTGCAGGAAATACTTCAAAGAATCAACAACTGGGATCTCATCTTATTGAAAAGTTGTTACATATCAAAAGAAATCACCAACAGAGTGAAAAGAAAACCCACAAACTTGGAAAAAATTTTAAAATTTAAAAAAAAAAACACTGAAATTCCACCTTACCCCAGTAAGAATGGCTAGCATTAAGAAATCAAGCAATAACAAATGCTGGCGAGGTTGTGGAGAAATAGGAACCCTTCTCCACTGCTGGTGGGAATGCAGACTGGTGAAACCACTGTGGAGATCAGTTTGGAGATTCTTCTGAAAACTAGGTCTAGAGGTCCCATTCAACCCAGCTATCTCCCTGCTGGGTATTTTCCCAGAAGATCTAAAAACATCATATCACAGTGATGTATGTACACCTATGTTCATAGCAGCACAATTTGTAATTGCTAAAATGTGGAAGCAACCCAAATGTCCATCCACCGAGGATTGGATAAGAAAATTGTGGTACTTTTATGTAATGGAATATTACTCAGCTGTAAAGAAAGATGAACTCGAGGCTTTTATAGGCAAATGGTCACAACTAGAGACCATACTCATAAGTGAAATAAATCAAACATACATGTGCAAGCACTGCATTGTTTCACTAGTGTAAAACTTGAAAGAGTTAATTTAAACTTGGAGGTATGATAGACACTGTGAAATGATAGGAAACTGCTCAAGAGTAAAGGGCAACTGGGATGTGGGAAAAGAGAAGGGAAAGAATGAGAAATTTTGTTTGTATGTATATACAGGATAGTTAACATGGTTGTTCTTCTGTCTTCTATTTCTATGCTGAAAGAAACTGTCAATGAGTCTGGTAGATCAGTATTGCATTTCTATACCTGTTTTCATGAGAAGCCACTTTGAAGATATCAATATGTAATACAACAACCGTATTGTCTGTACTGTTCTTTTGCTATGTTGTAAAATGTTGTCTGTCTGTTAATGTTTTCCTCCTTTTATTTTTAAAATAATAATAAAAAAAAACTTGGTCCCTCTGATCATGTGTCCCCATTAGTCTGGAGTAGACTAAGGTAATCACACTGGAGGGACAAAAGGCAGCCCCCGTCCACCACTGTCTCGAATATACTTTTGAAGAAAGGCTGCATTTTGCTTTGTTGAGAACTCTGGCTTGGAGTCCTCTGGGACTCTGGATTCCAACCCACCCCAGGAAGACAGGATTGTCAGCAGTGAGGCCCCATGCTCCCTTTCTGGGGCTCCTCCATGGATGGTAGGAAGCCAGGTGGTGCCTGGCTTGGAGAGCGTGGAAGAGGCACGCACCCTGCTGGGCACCGGCTGTGGCCCAGACCCAGCACTCACCACAAAGGTGTACTGCTGGTGGGACTTGGTCATGAACTCCGGCTTGCACTCCCCGATGCAGAGGCGCACGGGCCCAGAGGTGGTCCCCACCAGCGCGTGGCCCATTTCGCAGACGATCCTGAGGAGAGAGCAGACCTTCCAATAAGAGGCGTGTCCAGAGCTGCCATCCCTGCCCTGCTTGCTCACTAGTCACAGTGAACATCTCAGCACAGTCTGACAGGAGTGCTGGTGCAGACCAGGAGCCAGCTTGGCCACTCATGAAGCTGTGTGACCTGGATAAAGTGCTTTCCCTTACTGGGCTTGAGCCTCATCTATACTGCGGGAGGTCGGGTTGGATCATACTTAACGCCTCTGATCATCTCTATGCCTCTGCTGCACCATGTTGCCTAATTCTGTGGCTGATCTTGTGGTCTTCAGTGTCTAGTCTTGGGTAGGTTCCCAGTATTTGAAGCATAAACTAAATGTTCAACAGAGGGAGGCAGGAGCTGCAATTTAACCAGTGTTCTCTCCTAACCTTCCTAAAAGGGCAGTGAGGGCCTAAGTGCCAAGCTGATTCAGTTGTAAATGTTTTCCTGCAGTGAGTTTTAAGAAATGGATAATCTGTTGAGATAGTGAGAGCAGGAAAGCCAGCACTCCCAGGAGAATTGGGGGAGTGCAGGCCTGGGCTTTGGGTGGACAGAGGGAGGGAGGCGGAGGATTTCATTAGGCTGCGGTGGACACTGGGCTCCCACTCAATCATGGCTGAGCACATGAGCTTGGGAGACGAGAGGGTGACTGACGCTGGGTTGAAGTCATGTCTCGAGCTCACAGGCAGCCGCAGGGAGGTATGCACATTCTCCCTGGAACAGTGCCCAGATCTATACCTCTGGGTGTGTCTTCCCTGATGCTTGAGATGAGTGACACAAGCACATTTAGTCACTGCTTGCTCTAGACACGGCAGCTGCTTGGAAAGGTGGGGACTGAGGGAATCAGGTTCTTTCTGGGACCATCTACCTGGAACTGCAGGGCCTGAGGAGAGTCCTGCCAGGCTCAGGGCAAGGGAGGCTGGGAATGCAGGGCAGGAAGGTTTGGAGGGCAGGAAGGGTTCTCCTTGCCACCCCATCCTGTTTAAGAGTTCTGAGCTCTCTGGTGGCCCTGGTAGGTTTGCTTAGTGGGAGTCAGAAAAACAGACCCCCCTCTCTGCTAATCCCCGGCATTATCCTGGCATGGTGGGAAAGATCCGTGTTTAACCGAGCGATGCTATCTCAACAGCTTCTCTAGGAAGGAAGGTAACTAAACAGAGATTTCATTTCGATGTAATAAAATTTGCATTAAACAAATATGCTGTGTGCTCACACACACGGCACGCTGCTGGTCTCCATCTCCTTCATAACAGTTAATCCCAAATAAGTACTTTCACTCCTGGCGAATATTTACTTAACATGCAATAACTGTCTTATTACGTTTAGCACATTAGATGCCACAAGAAAGTACTGGATGTGATGGAAGAGTATTCTCTTTTCCTTTTCTCTATGAATAAATAAATTAATTATGAACAGGCACAAACACGAGAGTGATGATCAATTAGTATTTGACATGTAACCATCTCCTTGAGCCTCATTAGTGGAGCACTGGAGAAGCTAAATCTAAGGTATGATGTGTGGTTTTCACGCTGCTGCTACCTGCTTGGAGTAGCAGCCCTCATCCTGTCTCCTGGGTGCCAGCACCTGCTCTGATCTGGGGTCCCTGTCATTCTCCTTTACCCTTAAGGAGCTCCTAAGGGAAGTTGATTGTTCACTGTGAGAGAGGAGGAAGGAGATGAGTCTTCCCTCATTCTGACTAGGCTGCGCTGCCAGGGGACACTGCGGAGCGACCCTCCAGAAGCAAGAGGGAGAGATCCTTGCTGATGAGAATTCAGGGAGAGAGGAACTATGAAAACACACAAAAGTCTGGGCAACCCTGAAAGGTCTCCAAGCTGTCAGGAAAGGAGAGCTCTCAGCAGCCCCCTGAGGGGGTGAAGGGGGGTTGGGCCTCTTGGCAAAGTGTCTTTCTGAAGGCACTTTCTTGCTCAGGGTTCAGGTTCCAAAAGATAAGCTCTAGGGGTCAAATGCCTGGGAGAGGAGCAACGAGGAGATAGAGGCCACTTGAGTGGCCCTGGCTGGGTGGGCTGAGGCAGGGCCAGGAGCTGGGCTGCAAGGAGCCTACGAGCTGCCCACGGTGCCCTCCTAGTGACAGCCACTGCACCCTTTTCTCATCCGGGGCTGAGGGAGGGAGGGTGTGCTCAGTTCTGGCTGCCGAGAATTCTAAGTGCAGGTCTAAGCACTGACCACAGTCCTGGAAACCAAGCAGCTGTGCCTCACTGTTCTTCCCGCTGCTCCTGGGAGCTACAGGGAAGAGTGCAGAGGCCCAGCCTGGGTTTGCTGTGGGAACTTCTTTCCTGTGCTCAGGGAAAAGGCAGATAAAGGAAGTTGCAAGGGAAAAGAAGGGCTGTGGAGAGGACTGAGCATCACGGCCCAGCTCATGGTGAACCTTCATAATGCCTGGAGCCACAAGGAGACAGGAAGGAGGCCTTCCACCAGACAGGGGCTCATGCCACCCTCAGGCTCTGCTACTGAGTGGGTCTAGCTTGACCCCATGGCTCATGCGTTTGTCTACTCCACACCACACTGGACTTAACAGGACACTCCAGATGTCCTTTGGAAGGGGATGGAACCAACATGGCGGCAATAGTAGAGGTGAGGATGCTGGCAGAGGGTGGTGGGGAGGATGTAGCTGGCTTCCTATGGCCCTGGGAGCTACCCCATAGTGCACACCACCCTCTCCTCCAGGCCTCATTAGCTGGGCCCTGTGGTTTGATTTCAGGGGGCCTCCTGCCTTTTCTGTCTCCTCCCAGTGGCTCCGGGACCCTTATATGTTATTAGGAGGCAAGAGCTAGAGAGGCCTATTTTTTCTCTGTAAAATGAGGGGATGGACAAAGCACCTGGCCAGCTCTGACATTGAACATTGGCCTCCTATTTGACAGGGGTCTTCTGGAGACATATTGGTGCCCCCAGGAGGCTTTCTAAGGAGGAGCTGCAAATGACACTGTTTCAGCATCTTAAGGGCCATGGATGTGATCGTAGAGAAGATCTATTCTTACATACTTGTTTTCCAGATGAGACCTCTGAGGATCCTGGAGCATAGTGATTTGCTCAGAGTCACCTAGCTCACCAACAGCTTGACCTCTAGTCTCCTGGACCAGCCCATTGCCCTTGTCCCTACCACACCATCTCGTGCAGACTTGCAGAAAGGATGTCTTGCTTCGTGTCATGGGAAACACACAGACCTAACATCCATCTGGCTATGTCTGAGGTCACAGGAATAGTAGGGGAGAGGTAGGGGGTCTGAGGACATGCGCTGGGGGTGCCTCATACAGAGCCCCTGTCTCAGGAGGGCTGAGCACAGCTTTAACCTGCATCCCATGGCCCAGAGATCATCCTGTTCCTCAATCACAAGGCCCTCCGCAGACCCGTGGGGTGCTGATTACAGGACTAAGCGGGGCCCTTTAACCAACATTAGCCTAATTGCCGAGTGATAGATGGTGCGGCACAAGCATATGGTGAATCATTACTGTGCCTGCTAATCCTGCCCGCGCCCGGGACTCTGCACTGAGCCCGTTTAGCCAAATTCATCTCTTGCAGACATCTGTAACGATGGTGCCTGCTGCTCACTGCCCAGGATGGAGGCTTTAATGATGTTAACAAACTCTAAAACCTCGAGAGTCGTAATGAGCCTGGCACGGCTGGAAACCAGGGCTGCATCCAATAAGGCTCGGGGTGTGTTGCTGTCTCCTGTCTGCCATGGGCCCGAGGAGGGGATGCTCATGGCTTTGTAGGGTCACCACCGGCCTCGGCAAGGGCCTAGGGTGACCATTCTCCAGCTCTTGAGCATCCCCTCTCCTGGCATTTCTATGCACTTTCTTCCTGTGACTTGAGGTGAGTGGAGCACATTTGACTTTGTAAACAGAACTCAAACCCCTTCCATTTGTCTAGCACATTCACTTGATAGGCGTCAGAGAGACTGAACAGCTTGCTAAGGTCTCAGAGCTGACCAGTAGATTAGTCAGGGCTACAGCACGGCTCAGCTCCAAACCTCATGAGACTCAGGTCCAGCTGCCCAGAAATGTGCACTTTTCAGCTCAAAGTGTGACCCCTCCCTCCTCTCAGAACAAGTTGGAGAATAGCCTGTATCCAGAGGCCCTAGGCGGGTCCTGCAGGCCAGCGTGGACTTGGGCTCAGTATGACTGAGCGCCTAGTGCAATCTAGCCCAGCATTGGGTTGGTACAGTCTGTCTGGCTGGCTGCTGCCACCTCTGTAGGCCAGGCTGCTCTTGCCCTGGCAGCTTTCCCTTCTGCTCCTGGCTCTGAACACTTCTTACATCATTTCCCTCCCCACTCCTGTGTGTTTCCCAGCCAGCCTTTCCTCCGGGACTTGCTCTTTGCAGGGATGAGGTTGTTAGTGAAGGATCGGCACTGCAGGATGGGGAGGATCGGGTCAACTCTTTTTCCTTCCTGTCTGTAGTCTCAGCTTTTCAAGCTTAGGAACCCAGCCCTTCTGCTCTGACCCTTCTTGGGCCACACTGGAATCTCGGCTGTTGAGCCCCAAAGCCACATGCGGATAAGTCACGGAACATTCAGGCCTCTCCTGTGCAGGACAGTTGCACCCTGGCTTTGTGGAAGACAAGAGTCCTGGACAAAGGGTCAGGAGACTTGTGATCCAGTTCTGCCTCGGCATGAACTGTGCAAGTCATTTCACCTCCCTGAGTCCTTTGCTCTCTCCTGTTTGCAAAAGTGACAGTAACAGTAATTTACCTGTCAGACCACTAACCAATTAAAAATGGGGTAGTAGATGAGAAAGCGTCCTGTTAACTAAAAAGTGCTGATGAAAGATAAAGTGATGTGAACTTTATGGTTGCTGTGGAAGGCTGGCTCTTGGGAGGTCAGGCGCAGGGGCTGAAGCTGCAGAGCAGCGGAAGTAGCGGGAAGTCCCTATCCCGAAGTCAAGCTGTCGGTCTTGCTCTTTCTACCACATGCAGGGTGAGCTGTCTTCTCATACAGTAGGGGTGGTTTGACCCAAATGCACATGACAAGTCGTGCAGAATGAGCTGGCAGTGTCTTCCGTTTCTCCTTTAGAAGGAAGCATCCTTCCTTCTACCCTCCTGCTCCAGCTTTGTGCCCACCTCCTGCCCAGCAACTCACAGTGCTTGCTGCTGCCAAATGAACACCCTAAATTGGAACATATGTCACTCCCAGAGCCCCGCTCGCCTGTCCGCCACTACGTGCCTATTTTCTAATTTCCAGCTGACATTTCCCTTAGTGAAATAAATGAATTTGCTCCGGCGGAGGCCCTGCTCGGATTAAGCTGCTGTCAGAACCCCATGCACTAAACAAATTGTTGCCCGCAGCCCACCGTGCAGGATGCATTCCAATGGGGGCTGGCAAGAGGGGCCCAGGAGGCCTGGGAGGAGCCTGAGCTTATCAGGACAGTGGCTTAGTCACACCATTGGGCAGAAGATGGAATGAGGGGCCCTGGTGCCAGAGGAAGCAGGAAACAGGGAATCGAACAGAACAGGATGCGCTGAGGTGGAGCTGGGGTAGGTGTGCACTTGGGAGGCTCCTGGGGCGAGTTCCATGGGGGAGCAGGTGACCGGAGGCAAATCCTGGATACACTGCAGAGAGGAAGAGGGGATAATCTTCCTTTGGCACCCCTCTGCTCCCGTGGGAAAAGGACTGGCAGGGGACTCACTGCTCAGCGATGATGTACTCCCCTGGGAGGGGCGCACAGGGCACCCCAGCCACCTGCACATGGTGCGCGATCTCAGAGAAGTCCAGGCCCAGGTTCACGCCGTGGATGGTCACTCGAGTTCCTCCCTCAGGTGGTCCAGACACCGTCAAAATCTGCAGGAGGGAAGTGGAATTAGCCAATCCAGTCAAGCCATGCATGGAGCAGGAGGTAGGCCTGGGTTTAAGGACCTTGACAGATGCTGGGAACCTGGGTGAAGTGCGTGTGTATCTTTTACACTCCTTAGCTTATCTAGGCTCCTAAGGTCATCTTCTATTTTAATGTGACTTACTTGTTTAAGCCATTCATTCATCATTCATAAATATTTAGAAAAACTTACCAGAAATCATTCTGGACCTCAGGCAGAAAATCATTGCTTGAGAACCCTCTAATTCTCTAGTTGCCTGATTGCAATCAAGTCACATAATCTCTCCACACTGCAGTTCTTAGTGGTGAAGAGAGTATTAAGTCTACCAACCTGGCAGGGGCTTGGGAATCCCAAAGAGAAGGTGTGCTTGGAGCATTTTTGCAAGCCAGAGGGCTTTATATTGGTGACAGTGTTATTACTGCCACTCTGGTGTGCTGGACCCTGTGTGTGGGCGGTACAGTGATGAATACACAGCAGGTTTGCCCTCAAGAAACTTGCAGTCAGGGCAGCTCAAATAACAAAGGTTCATAAATAACTCAGATCCAGGGTCTAGGGTGATAAGAGAGAGAGGAAAAGCCCTGCAAGTTTGGAGTGGGATGGAATTAGGTGTGGCTGCAGGGCGATGATGTGTTTGCCTTTATTCTGAAAAAAAATATACTGTGACACATGCTAGGACCAAAAAGAAATGACTTTAGGATTTTCCCAATCTTTTCTGACTTCTTGTTAGTAAGGATCATTTATTTATTCATTTAAAAAATCAGCCACCAAATGCTGACTATCTCATTTTGCTTTGACCCAACAGCAAACAGGATGGAAGAATCGGCTTCTCCCAAGGTAGAAACTTCTGTCTGGGAACACATTACGTTCTTGGAAAAATGCATTTCTTCAGGATTCAACAAATTTCAGTGAATTAATCCATACGTTGTGGTCTATGGTCAGCCAAAGTAGCAAAAACTCAGCGGTGGACGCAATCTTAGCAGAAGAACATAGACTTTCAGAACTGGAAAGACTTCAGATCATAGGGTGTCTTATGCTAACAGCCTCAGCTTATAAGGAGAAGAATGAGAACTAGGAGTGAGGGATGGACCCATGGCTTCAAGCAGCTACTGGAAAAATGCCCAGCACTCTTCTCAGTGCAGCATAAGAAAGGCAGATGGAAGAGGGAGGGACAGGGGGAAGGGGACTTGATGGAGACCAACAGTCCCTTAGGGTCCCTAGGTGGTGCCTCTGGGTAGAGCTGCAGCCCCGCGTCCTTTCCATGCTGCCTTAGGGGGATGATAGGTGAGTACAGGTGGAAATGCTTCTCCTGCCTCCCAGAGGGGTGCTCTTTCCTTCCTGTGATGTGCATGTCAAGTTCTGCTACCAATCAAGCCCTGTCTTCTTCAGGGGTCTTGGACAGTGCTCCTGCCTCCCTCCTGGCATGTGGATCCTTTACTGGGGCTCATTCAGTCAGGTCACCTTGTCTGTGGTTCTGATTCCCTTTTCTGGGACGAAAATATCCCACCTTATGAATGAAACTAAACAAGACGCATGGAGTGAATCAAGGAGGCACAGGCAGGGGACTCAGATGACTCTCTGTGGGGGTGGGGCAAGGACAGTGTGGGGAGGAAAGAGCTGGCCGGAGGGACCGGAAGCTCCAGGAGACTCTAAAAATACCCAACAATAACACATTCTGGCCATTCCTCTCTCCCCTGGCACAGTTCCTGCAAGCCTTGGGCTCCAATGTGTGGGAGGTGGACACTTGTCAGTAAGATACAGGGAAGGGCTCTCGCCCTGCCACCCAGGAGGGCAGCAGCAGAGCCTTTGTGCCTGGCTCTCTTCGACTGACTGACTGACGGGACTGAGCTCCCGGGGCTCCCCACTCCCTCCTCCAGCCACCTGGATGCCCTGAACTCCTCTGCCCGAAGGAGGTGATGAAACTGTGGTGATTGGCTCCCCGGGCCTTCCCCCACTTTTATTTTTAAAAATACGTCTTTTGCTCACTGTAGTTAATTACAACCTTTCAGAAAAACTGAAATGAAATCTTTCTGGAAAGCCTAAAAATATTTCCACCTTGCAGGTAGTGTGTGGCAGAGACAGTGTGGAGACTCTGTGGAATGGGCAGGGCCCACAGGCTCGCTCCTTGCTGCTGCTAAGTCACGGCAAGTGCTGCCTCCACCTCCAGCATTCGAGGGTCCTGTCAGCCCTGTGGGCATGCTGGGGTGCTGAGTGGTCAGGCTGCTGACACAGTCTGCCAGGAGCCTAAGCTGGCCGGCAGTATTTAGAGAAAGAGCACTCCTCCCTCTAAAATTGTTTGCGAGTGTTAGAACCCTGACATGAGGACACATGTCACAGAGATTGGTAGGTCCAGAAAACAGCTCAGTCTAGGTGAATCGGGGTCCTCTAGGGTCTCTAAACCAGGTTTGATGCCTGTGGAAGGTTGGTCTTCAAGGGTGGTTTCTTTCCAGGTGATGCCTTTTGCTGTCACCACCTTGCATAGGTAGCAAGAGAGTTTAGGCTGGGGCACAACTGAGCCACTGTCCTGTTTGCAGCGTACAAGGGATGTGTGGTTTATACTTCTTTTCTTAGAGAAAACCTGATGTGTGAAAGTCTGGATCTCAAAATCAGAGATGAGGCGGGGATTATTTGATTTGTAAGAGGACTCCTCAGACCTCCATTACTGATGACTTCCACATCTATATTGCTGGCTCAGCCCTCTCTCCCGAGCTTTGTAGCCATATATCCAGTTGGTACTGGACATCCGCACTTCCCCACTCACGTCCCTCAAGCACCTCAAATTTCTCCGTGTCTAAAAATGAACTCTTGATTTTTCTTCTTCCCACCCAAGCCCAGTTATCCTCTCTGATGCTCTTTCAAGGTTAATGGAATCACTGTACACCCAGTTGAGAATCTTGTACATATCCTTGCCTACCATGTATCATTAATGTGGTCACCAGGCCCCATCGGTTCTCACTCCCATGTGCCTGGAATCTGTGTGCCAGAGCAGGGGTTAAGCAAAACCCCATCTTCTCCTTCTAACTGCAAGAATTTCTATGTTTCTCCATACAAATCTGCCTCCTGCCCAGCTGCCAGGGGAAGCATGCACTTGACCAAGTTACTAAGCATTTGTTCTGAAAACCCTCAATGGCTGTGACCATTACCAAGGCAAAGTCCCTAATTCCTGGCCTGGCTTTTGTGGTCCTTAACGTTGTAGTTTCCTTCACTTCCTCAGCCACACCTTTCACTGTATAACATGTCCTCTAGGTCTACCACACACAAGAGGTTCCTGTATATAAAATGAACTTTAAAAGTCACTGTGCCTTCGAACACGCTTGCTCTTCCCCAGCTCAAAAGTCAAAGAGGCCAAGATGGAGGTCTGTGTTTGGAGCACCAGGAAATGGAGGAAGTCACCCGGAAGACAGCACCTGCCCCTAATGCCTAGCAGAGCTGGGCCTGAGTAGAGGCCTGGGATGGTTATGTGGCAGCTCGCTGTGGCAAAGGCCTGGCCTCTTGCTCCTTCATTTTTCCTCAGGGCCAAGTATGTGGAGGGAAGGCTACCAAGGGGTGGCTCAGTGGGGACAGGTTTCTTCTCCAGAGAAAGAATGCACAGAACTCCACAGGGCACCCCTTCAGACTTGCCAGCTTTAGGGTCCCCAGCCCCCTTCCCCTACAAGACTGAACCTAGAGTTTTCTCTTAAAAGCAGCATTGGTTTGCAGGGCATCCAGGGCTGCATTCTGCAATAGGAACAAGTCTGGCCTTTCTAAAAGGGCTATAAAGAGGCACATGGGCTGAGTCCCCACCTGTGGCAACAGAAGTCCAGGAAAGGCCTACTAGATCTGAGTGGAGCTGGTGGGGCTGCAGGGTTGGGGAGAGCTGTGGGCCAGAGGGCAGGGTGGAGTTATAAATTGTCTGCTGATGGCTGAAGATCCATTACAGGTGGCCAGCACCGCAGGCAGGGACACACATCCTGGCTTGGGGTTTCAGGTGGCCTTTATGCTGTGGGTTGCTCCAGGGCAGGGTAGGGAAGGGAGACTTCTGATGCTCAGGCAGCTCTGTAGCAGGAAGTGAACAAGTAACCTCTAGAGTTGAGTAGACCTGAATCTGAACAGCAGTTGTGATGCTAAAGAGCTAGGTGACCTTGATCTAATGTCCTCATCTGAAAGCAGATGAGACTGCTACCTCCCAAGGATGACGTGAGGATTAAGTGAGATCACATTTGGGAATTCCCTAGTATGTTGGTGCAGATACTTAGCATACTGCCTGGCATACAGATGGTTATCATAGATATTCCCAGTTCTCTGTTACTGGGAAACACTGTCTCAACCAGATTCTAGAACAGACTGCATTCTCCAATGACCTCTGGAAGAATGGAAGTGTGTGCTGCTGGGGAGTGATAAAGGTCTCAATAACTGCTGATCCCCTTCCCTGTGCTTCCCCACACCCACAGCTTCCTAGGTGACAAAAACACCCAAGAAGGGGTGGTTGTGTTGGTGGGGGAGCCTGGAGAAGTTGGGAACTCTCCTACCAATGCAGCCAGAGAACACATGGGCCAGGGTGCTAAGGACAGATACGGAGTGACCCGGGCAGGGACACTGGGGAACAGCTGGGAAGTAGCCTGCAGTCTGCGCTTGGGCAGGAGCAGGTGGGCTTTGGTGGGTTCCAGGCTCCACACAGCAGCACAGTCTGGACTTGGCATCACCCCTTTACCACCTTGAATTTGAGAGGACACTGGCCCTGTGCAAAACAGTCTTTATTCTTTCTTCCCTTTCTTCTATTTCTTCTTTCCTCAGCTAGTAGCTATCTGGGAGTGGGGGCAGTGTTTGACAAATAATTCAAGCACTTCCTCCAAGAGAAGTAATTTTGAATGAGATACTCTTATAAACAAATGATTTGACAGCTTGGTGTGTGTGTGTGTGTGTGTGTTTGTGTGTGTGTGGTGCATTGGGGAGAACTGGGGAAGAAGAGGAAAAAAAGGAAGATCTGAAGAT